ATTAGAGAGCTGGGGTCTGAGCCACAGGCTGGCAGCACATCGGCAGCACCAGTGCCAGACACTGGGAGTTTTGTGCACTGGCCCATGGTGCTTCATTATTAAAATAGATGTGCTGTTTTCATTGATTGATTCAGAGATGATTGAGATTGAAATGCCTCCTTGAGACATGGAGGTGACATTTCCATAGGCCTAGAGAGTCCAGTGTTCGCCACAGGAGATGCCAGTTTTGACAGCGAAATCATAGTTATGCCTGTGTAAACCCTGAGTAGTCAATGGAGCTGCATTGTTTTTCATGCTGGTGTTGCAAATCTGAAGGCCTGAATCTGATTTCACTTACCCTGGGATTTGACATGTTAAGTCAGTGTGAAATAACCCGGGTTTAGGCTCAGGCTCTGTCTCTCTCCAGAAGACAGTGGTGAGGGCAGATGACACGATTAATAAATTGATAGATTTTTAGTCATTGTGGTCATCTACCTTAATCTCCTGAATAACAACAGGCCACTAAACTTCACCTGGTAAATCCTGGTTTAAGTCTACCTTTACTGGGTGAACAAGCCCATTCCTTCATCAGGATGGCGGCTGCCAGGACAACCACAGACCCCGTGGGAGCAGGCCCAGATTCGGGGGGATCTGCATATCCCCAGTGCCACCAGGGACACGGACACTGCTGCCAAAGGAAGGAGTGACCCGTTGAGCTGAGCAGAAGAGGCCTCTCTTGCCTCAAACAGAACTAATTAGGTGGTCTGCGAGGCCAATCCCTCATCATCTTCATGTTGGGGGAGCCTGGAGAATATGGGTCTGTCCTTGAACCAACACCAACTCTGTGGAGCTGAGAAGGGATTTATTTGAGTAGTGTGGAAAAGAGCCTGCTGCCAGAATGTCTGTGTCCAGTCCCTGGACACCCAAGTGACCTTCAGTCACAGGAACCCTTAGAGAGAAACTCATCTCTCTCCCTGGGGCTGGCAGAGGCTCACTGATGCAGCTTGGTCCAAGAGGGAGACATCATGTCATCTTGGCTGTGGAACATTTCATATGAAAGTATTTCCTCACGATACCCTACAGTTCCTCAATGCCAGTGTCAGAACTTCCCACACATATTGCTTCTCTGACACATTCTGTCCCAGTCACGATTTTGCAGCCTTTGTGCTCCCGCACAGCAACTCTGCTGCCTCTCATTGTAGCTCTGTGGAGCCAGGCAGGCTGTGGCAGGACGACACTCATGAACAGCAGCTCAGGCCCAGGGCTTCAGCATTATTGGGTGGGTGACTGGGGCACCAGGGATGCCCTGGACACCCATCTGGAGGAGGCTCCTCTTGGCTAATCAGCTCCCAAACCATAGAGGGCATTAGAGATCTGAGTGCTACACTTAACTGAATGAGTCACATCCACTTCTAGGTACAGCTAAAGCCAACGGGCTTTTACAAAGCTGATTGGCAAGCAGCTTCTCATTGCAGATAATTCCCTGCCAGCACATCCCGAATGCATAGGTGATTGCTCTTAAATTGACGGCTAGAAGCACAATAACAGCCTTTTTATTTAGTTCCTGCTTGATAGGCAGTGAATGTAGAGTTGCCAAAAGAAAAAAAAAAAAAAAACAAGGGAAACAAAAAAAAAAAGCAGAAAAATTAAAAAAATGCCACGGAATTTGCTCTCTGTTTAACCACTGTGAGGCTGAAATTCCTTGGGATGGAATGTTAAACAAGGCTTCTGCTGCTGCCCAAAGCCTGGGATCAGCACTAAGGGGTACTTGGGGCACACTGAGCTTTCCAGCAGCCCCTGCTGCAGGTGGGAATTGCCCTTCAAATGCAGCAAACACTCAGGGGCTTCATTCTTACAGCAGATTAGAGCTGGCGTGCTGAATGAGAGCATTTGGCAATGAGGTTTCACAGGGTGGCAGGGCAGAGGGAAGCTGGCACCCTGGCACCTGGGCAACAAGACTCATCTCTTAGAAAGCAGAAAATGGAGCATTTTTCATGTGGCTTCATCATGTCCAGCCACACATATTTCGCATAGTACCCCCCAGCCAAAAGGGTGAACGCCATCTGCCTGGAGCTGGCTGGAAAATGTGGAGTGAATGATGGTGGTAGAGTTGGCTGTATTTTTTTTTTTTGTTTTTTTTTTTTTTTTTTCACTTTTTCACTCAAATTTTCCCTTCAAAATGTAAACTCTTGAGCAAATCTTCATGCAATCCTACAAATACCAGCAGCCACATTTTCAGGCAGCTGCATGCCAGCAGCTGCAAATCACCACTGAGTCTGGCAAAACACACAAGGTGGCCAGGGGCAGTGGACAATCCCATGTGCGACCAACATAACCAGAAAGCAGTTGAGAACGGCTCCAAAGTTGCTTTCACAGATTAATGACATATATAATTCAAAGAAAACTGTTCCTAAAGGTTTTCGCTCAAATTTGCCAAATATTTCTGGCCTAGGAAGGTCAATGTGGTCAGGTAGTATCTTCTGTAGTCCATCTCCTGAGGTCTAACTTACTGACTCATCCCTTGTGTTCAGCTGTTTTCATATGCTTATAGATGTACAAGTTCCCAAAAGAGAGGAGAACATGTCTTCTTTTCAGAAGGCGAGTTTACCTACATGCCTAAAAATATCAACAGGGACTTTTCTGTAGCTCATATGACCATGAATTTCTGGTTAACGTTAGCTTCACATGTGGTTTGTGTGCTGAACACATTTATATTAGCTATAATAAAGTCCTTCCAACCGCATGGACACAGTATGGGTGGAAAAGAATCCTGAAACTCTTCATGCACATGTGCCTTTTTCAATCAAAAGGATAAAAGGATATCTAAATTCACTTTGAAATGCAGCTGGTAAGTGAAATTCCTCTCTATTACGTGGAGCTGATACTGCATTGTTTTCTTTTTGGACGATATAGGAGGGGCTGAAGAGGGTCTCAGCCTTTTAGTAAAAGGATTTACACTATGCTTCCTACTCCTTAGCTCCACGGGCCACAGGAAGATCCAGCCAGGCTTTTCAGATTTAAATAAGGCTTCACAACCTCTGTGTCTTTTGTGCTGGCAACCAAACATCCTGTGGTCTAGAGCAGCTTGTCATGGGCCAAATTCATTCCTAAGGGAGTCGTGCAGTTAAATCATCTTAGTTGGCTGAGAAACTGTAGTGCTTCCGTCTCTCTCCTGAGCCTTGCACAGCTCTTACCAACAGCCTACTCCACTGCCTTAGCCCCACACAACCAGGGAGGGAGGGAAGATGTCTCCTTGGCTGGGGAAAAGGGTACACAGTACCTTGCCTGAGGTTGTTGTGAAATTGTGTATGAAAATGAGCATCCAAATGCCCATCTTCTATTACCCCTGTCATTGCCATGTTTGGAGGAGAACTTCTCCCTCCAGTCAGCAGGCTGGCATCTTCTGCTACTGTGGGAATCCCATGTACTGGCTATATAAATAATTATCCATTGTGGTTTTTTTTTTTGTTTGTTTGTTTGTTTTTTTTTCCAGAGGGCTTTTTTTCTGAGTTGTGCAGTTGCACTGACAGTGCTGTACAGCACAGGTTTATGTAGAGCCATTCATCATCCATAGCTGGGATCACAGAACTCTTCACAGCCGATTACAAGGTTACACATGCAGGGAATGATGTGAGCTGCCTATCTCAAGTCAAGCTTCAAGCTGGTTTCTGGGCACACCCAGAGGATTCTAAGGGCTTGGGAATGAATGGCACATGCAACATCAGACCTGCTCTCCCTCCCACTGACCCAAAAGATATCTCTCTCCAGGATATTCAGAGAGGATATTTTCTGGCTCCTTGTATATGAAATGGGCACATGGAATACACTGTGAGTTCCAAATAACCCATTCCAGAATTTCTTTTGAAGTGACTTATTTTCAAGAAGGACTGGGGCTATAGCACCCACTTTACAGGTAACCATTCACACGAGGGGGATGAGGAACACTGGAAAAGTCATAGCCTGGTTAGACCAGGCAGCTTTAAGCTGCTTCATGTGATCAGAGTTGTGCAGAAAAGCTGGAGGATATCAGTGACTGGCCCTTTGTTTTAAGCAGGACATTACAATAAATACTCAACCTCAAATCCAGACTAACACCTACTGGTATGTCTCTCACAGTATGCTTCTGCAACACCATCTGTATTCTGGGTTCACCACCCCTCCCTCCCCAGCACTGTCTGGGCTAAGACATCCCTGCCAGCCACTTCCCAGCTGTGCCTTCCTGCAGCACATCCAGAGCACACAGTTTTCCAGACTAAGATGAAAAGGTTTTAAGCAGGTCTGTAAGTGTGAGGGGCCATACAGCAAACCGCAGTGACGGCTTCTTTTGCTTGGAGACAGTGGCCTGAGATGGACTTTGTGTCGGGAGCGCTGCGGTTCATCCCTCCCCGGCAGGCAGCTTGACCTCACTTGCTCCATGCTCAGCAGCACCGGGTGTTCAGCCTTGCACTAGGCAGCCACGTCACATGCTGCTTAGCATCTCTTGAGAGCTTCTTACATCTCTTTTGAGCTGGTATTCTTGGCACTGGCTCTTAGAACTATTTCTGCAATGACGATAGAAAACCTGGCGTTTCTAGTTTTGTCATCCTGGGAAGCCCCTGGGCAGAAACGTACCCCTGTGCGGAGGGTCAGCACGCCGAGCTGCACCACTTCAGTCACGCTGGAGCCCTGGGCAGCTTGTAAGCAAGCAACCCAAAAAATCCTGCCTTTGAAGCCTGGCTCCTTTGCTCTTTAGGTTGGGTTTGGGGCAGACAGGATTTAGGCTGCTGTCTTGCAGCTGAGGCCCCTCAGGGATGGGGGAAGCACACTATTGATCCTGTTACCTCACAGCTGGTATCAGCACTACATTATTTTCTAACATCAAGTCATTTTAAGTCTCTGAAATGACACAAACACATTGATTAAAAATTAAAACCAATGACAGCTCTCCCACAAACAGTACTTACTGTACCATACTTATTGTAATCCTGGGAGGGGAATGAGAAAATAGCAGAAGACGGAATAATTTATAGTGATAAAATGGGTTACATTTTCATAAAAATTTTATTTTACTTTTTTTTTTTTTAAATAATTCAATGCACTGGCAGTATAATTAATCCCTCTATGAGAGACACAAATGTACCAGTTCAACCAATATTATTTATACAGAGACATTGTGTTTAAAAACAACAAAAGTACATTTAAAATGTTTGTACATAAAGTATTACTGTTATTTCTTTTTTTTCTGAAGAAGGAACAAATGTAAACAAAATGCATAATTGTGCAACACGTTGGAAATACAAAGCAAAACAGGCAAGATACAATTTTATACATATAAAGCAAAAGAAATCAAACTTTTGTAACTATACAACATTTCAGTAATTGCTTGACATTTTAACAGTTACCTTGGTCTGTACAAAACATCTTAACTTATACTTAAAACTTTACAAGAATAACATGCTTGTTCAGAACAAAGACACCTTGTGGAATTGCAGTGATTATTGATATGATATTTGCACACATGAGGAAAAAAAGGCTACTTCAATAGTAAATAAAAAGTAAGAATGTAAGGTAAAGGGCCATTTAGTAAACCGTAATCTAATTCCAATAGCTAATTAAATTGCACTGCAATGCAGAAATTAAATCTGACTTTTGCTGGAAGACCATAAGGTCATAATGTTGCTCTATTTCCAGGAACCAGAAGAAAGCATATATAAATTTTCCTGATATTTTAATTAATTATACATGCGCGCGCGCACACACACACACAAAAGAGGAAAAAAAAAAAAAAAAAGGAAAAAATAGTATTTGCCACAACAGCCAGAAATGGTGGGCAAAAGAATGCACATACCAGACTACTCCCAACATGGCTAGGTTAAAAAAATAAGACAACTAGAAAGAGCAAACATCCACTGAGGTTGCCAGGATTACTTTTCCTGAACCTTAGTTGTATTTTGCTTTTTTTCCAGAAGACAGGAAGCAACTTGAATTGAATTAAGCCATTTAAAAAATACTGGGAGTACTACTGCCAAAGACAAAATACAAGCCAAAGGAGAGCTCAAAACCAAAGCAAAAAATAACCAGATCTTTTGATTTGTTTTCATATTCTGTGACAATATGTCCTAGACCTTTTGAATGTGGGTTTTAAAAAAACAGTATTCAAGATTCAGTAGAAGATATGCAAACCAGAGATGTCAAAAATACAGACAGGAATAAATTATACAGTATTTTATGGAATTACAAGGACTGTCAGCTTGGATAAAATGTACATAATTTTTAAGTGTCCTCAAATGATACATATGGCTAAAATTAAACTCCTGATTGAATCAACCTAACAGATTTAGAGCCTGATTCTGCAGTCTGTGTGCTGAACACTGATTTACGCAGCTACTCCTGTGGACTTCAGTGGAGCAACCTGCTGATTAGGATGCTCGGGGGAAGAACAGCAGAATTGGGCCTAGATAAATATTTGCCATGACTTTTAAATGTACAAAACCCATTTGGCTTAGAAAAACCACTTTAGCCTGCTGCAATGTCTTTGAACTAAAGTAACAGATTCCTTCTCTAGACTGAGAGCATTTATGACACATTTGAATTTATTTGCCATTTTTCTATGCAAGCTAATGCTGATGCCAGTAAATATTTAAACTCAGAGGTAATGAAATTGCAACATGCCTTTTAGTTAAAACCAAAACATATGCAAGCCTAGATGGCAGGCAGAAATTACCCTCCAATTCTTTTAGCAGGGGTTATCTGGTGCTGAATCAGAATAGTTCAGCATCTACTCAGCTTCAGTATGTATTTATAAGGCTGCATTAGGGCATACAGCACAGTATGAAAAGGGAGAGGACTAGTTTTTCAGCTGGTGTAAATCAGCACTGACATCTACGGAGCTACTTAGAGGCACATCAGCTGAAGCTTTGGCCCACAGTCATCAGAAACGTACAACCATCATTCATTCCATATGTAAAACTCTCAGCGGTGGAAGTGCTGAGTGAAAGCGTAATCGACATCAGATAAAAAGCTGCTCTGTTAGTCTAGTTTCCGATAACGCTTTTCCAGACTGTGTGGTCTAAAGCAGTTTTACGATGTGCTCTATACTGCATAGCTTTGCAAAGTACAATATTTCCTTACAGGCAAGGATTATGATACATTAATCATTTCATTGGCATGATCAGTAAAAAAGGCATGATGATAAAAGCTTTGGGAGTTTATCTGCATAGAAATATATTGGCAAAAATGAGTCTGGGGTTAGAGGGTTTGTTCCTCAGTGTGTGTATATTGGATTAACTCCACCGAAGTCAGTACTCCTATACCAGTTTACACCAGCTGAGGAACTTATACTCTACCTCTGTCATAAATAAAGCACGTGTGTTGCTATCCACTATTCAGTTCATTCTTAAATTCAAGGGTAAATGCCTCCCACCAGTGGGTCAAAGCTTCTTCATGTCTGTAACTCCACATTATTTGTCACTGAAGCCAATGGTGCTTTCCCTGAGCAAGGGCTGAGTCAACATATGGTCTGGTTGAAGAGCAATTCTGCTTGCAGTTATTCCAGCACTAGTCCAGAGACCTTGAACTAATTTTAGTGGGGTGAGTGCTCAGCCAGAACAAAAATGGATGTAATTCCATTGAATTAATTGGGTAAATGCAACTGAAGTTGTGGCCCAATAAACTTAACTCTGGTAATGCTATGCCATTTTTGTTAACCAGCTTCTCCTTTGATAAATAGAGCTCAGCAAGCTCTGTAAGACTTGCATGATTGCCATATGGCAGTAGAATTTGGTCCCACGAATTCCACAAGCTGAGCCAAGTTATTTTACATTTGCTTAGCCCAAAGTTTGGTCCATTGTAGTTACTGTTGTCCATTAAAACAATGACATTAACTTCAGAAGGAATCTGGCTTTCCTTCCCATTCAGAGAAAGAAATAACTGAGTAGAAATTAGGGCTATCTCTACTTGATGGGTTTTTCAATGGAATTACAACAGGATAACACTCTCACAAGTGTGAGTAAACTTATATCCAGCACAGAGAGCTTAGAGAACTTGCATAGAGGGGAACTCAGTTAAAATCAAAGAAAACAAGTCTCAAACAGCTGCATCATCCACTCACATGGCTTTTACCACTGGCATCAGGAGGACTCAGCTAGAGTCCTGTAAGCACAAGTGGTCCTGTGGACACTACAATTTACATTGCAAATCTGCATACAGTGAATATTGCCTTAGTTTTGTGATGTTACTGCATGCACTGCTTCTGTAAATGTGTTTGGCATTTCCAGATGCAGTGCAAGTAAAAGTGAGTGCTCAAATCCAAGCCCTACCTGCAGCTGCAGAGGACCAAGGCCTAAAAGCAATGCAGAGCCACAGCTCTTTTGCACCCAGGTGGTGGGGCTGGGGTCACTCAGTCCTGCTGGGCACAGCACTGGTCTCCCACCATGTCTCCTGCACACCAATACAGTGGCCAGGGCTATGGGGGGATTCACACTGTGCAGACCTGTAGTCGTTCAACACGCTGAGCAGGCTGAGTGCCCAGGGAGCTCTGTGCAGTGCCACAGCCTGTGGTAGGCAAGGTCAGGTCTCTTCTGCAGCCTCTCTCCAAAGCACTGAGTACACGCATGGCTACTCGAGCTGGCCAGTGGGCCCCTGGGCTTGGTCCTTGCTGGAGTTGTAAGGGAAAAACAGTTTAACTCTATGGTGACTTCAGGGCAGTGACAAGCATTAGCTCTTTGTGACATGTGGTGGCACCCTGAGCACCCTGAGGTGGATTAAGGAATTGGATTGGAATGGTGCCATATTTGGATTTTGTAGGATATCATGGTATAGGGGTTATTTTCCAGGACATATCAACAGTAATGAATCCCCTCTCCCAAGAAGCACATACAGGTTAAATTCGTAATGCCAGACCACACTAACTTGGCCCAGTCTTTAAACCACTCTTCACATCTTTACCATTGCCTAATATGAGCTGCCTGAGATGTTGCTACATACTCTGTGGTTCTGGGCACATCTTATCTTCCTAGTATTTCTGTTGAAATGCCTCCTGATGAGGCTGGGTTTGAGTATCATCTGACAGAATTTTTATGCAGTAACTCATCTGCATTTGAACTTGTTCTCATTTCTCTCTGTAGAGCCATGGGATCCCCCTGGCTGTACACAAGAGCTGAGCTCAATCTCTTCTGACTTCAACAGCTACCACCATGGGCTTAAACTGGTGTGAGATGATCAGAATCACTGATCTTGGAAGACAAAAGAAATAGACAAAACATCTTTGAAACAGAATGACTAAAGTAAAGCTGCTGAGTCCTTCAGAAAGGTTGGTCTGGCAAGAATACTGTAGAGAAGATGGCTACTCCATAAGCCAGGCAGGAACTTTTTGCATTCAGTAGGAGGGAGGTTTTGATAATGGAAGCGAACCTAACTGACCTTTTAGCCTATATACATAGACTAAAAAATACCAAGTGATATATCTAAAATATGTCACTATATCTAGTGAGATATAGATCTATCTATCTATCTATCTAATTAGATAATACAGAATGCCTATATGCATTGCTGTGTATAGTGGTCTGGTTATATCAGGGAAGTCCAGAAGGAGTATTAGAAATAGAGGAACTGAACCCTCCTAACATTTACAAGACTTGTTTTATCTGTATTTATAAAATAGTACGTAAAGTAAAGCTGGAAGTTGTCATAAGGACAGTGGACTGGTTTCTCATCTTCATCTCATTTTGCCTCACTCCCAGTGCACTCTAGTGAGGTTGGGGAGATGCTTCAAGAGGCAAAGGCCCTTTGCAATGACACTTTGGTCTGTGGGCCTGCCCACATATAGGACATTTCTACACTTGGTTCAAAATGACAAACTGATTTTCTTTGGTGACCTGTAAATAGAAATATTTTACCTTTCTTAAAAGTTCAAGACACTGATCTATTGCAAATGAATTAACCTTCTGAAAAACAATATGTTGACAGCACATTTGGTTTTGACACTGACTTGAGGGACCACAGGACCAAGATGACAGAGTTGTTGCTACTGTCTGTCATACCTTCATTGCCTGCAAGGAGACGATAGATGCAAACAGGACTACATTACAGAGAAACATTTTAAAAATTCTGCTACCACTCAGCAGTGGTAAGACTGTTTTCTCTTTATGGCTATTGCATCTTTTTTCCTGTGCTATGAAGTAAAGAGCAAGGACCTTCTGTTGCAAATCCACATCCAAATCCATACATATATGTAGCACACACACACACGTGTGCTTGCTTCAATACTGTGTGTAGTGGAGTTTCTCCTGAACTCAGAGCAAAGAGGTATATTAATACTCAAGTCAGAATCTTTACCAGCCCCATTTCTGCTATCTTTTAGGTTGCACTCACAAAACTAATAATTAGATTTAGACAGTATTAAATACTGATAAAAATACAATGAAAACATTTCTTCCAAAGTACCTGAAAAACTTGTCAGTGAATCTAAACTGTTATAATGGAAGAACATCATAAAATCTGTGAAATTCAAAAAGCATAGAAATTAAGGTCCAGACTCAATTTCTCAGATTTTGTTCCTTTAGGAGGAATGAAGATCTAGATCTTTATTCTGAAAAAACCCCACACTGGTATCAACAGACCTGTCCCTATCTTTCAAAGGAGGTCATTTATAAATAAGACAATACATTCACAGAGAGAATATTTAAATGATTAAAAGTCCAGAGACCGTGTAAGAAAAAGTGAAATTGAGCTATAAGAAGCAAGATGTGAAAGTCATTACCAAGACTATCAACAAAAAGGCTGTAAGCTAAACCAGAATGACTAAAAAAAGTAAAAATAAGAAAAAATGAAAATACGTAAAGTAAAAAGCACAAATGCTCAGCCAAACGCAGCTATCCAAACTCAGCATGAACCATTTACACTGTTACTTTGCTAAGCGTGGGAAGAGCAATTTGTCCTTTAAAGGACCCAGGGAGCATAGCTGAGACCAGTGACCAATGGGACACGGTCCAGGGGAACAGGGCCATATGGGATACATCATCTGAGGCCTTCCCTCTGATCCTTGCTCTCGAGGACCCAACACACATCACATGGCTAGAGATACTGCACTCAGAGCAGGATATTCTGCCTGCACATTGTCAAATACTTCACTTAAGACCTGCTGCAGCTCTTGACATGGAGGTTAAGTGCTATGTACATGCCTCACGTGAGCACTTAGGACTTTGCTGCCCTTGGATCTCCTACCGATGGAGATCCCAAATGCTTGTGTTTAGTCCTTTACTGGCATGTTCCCTTCACTGCTGAACTACTGATATTGCTTCAAACCTCCTGAAGCATGGGACACAAATGACAGTCTTGTCACCTCTGACAATTTTTTATGAAGCTTGGTGTCCTTCTTAAATCCCAGCTGCAGAAATCAAGAGATTACATCATTATCCCAGTTTATCACTATTAAAAATGAATGTGTCATTTCTGGCCTTTGGCATGCTTGAAAAATGCCTGAAAATGTGTCAGGAAATCAGCCTCAGAGCTCAGTATCCAGAAGGCAATACAAGAACCAAAAATGTTTCTTTAAAAAAAACAATCAACCCATGATTTGAAGCCAATCTTGTAATTTTTGGTGCTTGGTTCATGAATTTGAATGCTTGAAGTGGGCAGTTTTAAGAGCAGACATAGCAAATGTCCAAGCAAACAAATGTTGCTTCCCCATGGATTGAAGCAAACAAACAATATAATTTGATTAACTCTGCTGGAAGTAATATTTTAAGGGGTAAAATGATTCCACAAAGATGACATATTGGCATTTGAAATGAGATGAATATAGTGCCTGTAAAAGTGCAATAATCCTTAATAACTAACCCAAAAGAAGCATCATCCCCAGGGATAAGATGGTAATTCACTCTCCATATTTAATTTGTTTCTAAGCTGCTTTTGAAACAAGATTGCTAAATAGTAAGTTGGCTTGTGATCCTAGACTTGACTGCTGGACTTATTCTAATCATGCCATTGATTCAGCATACATTTCAAACTAAGTCACAGGATACAAAATCAGGTGGGCTAATTCCTTAAGCTGTTTAAGCAAAAGATTGTGAACACAAGGTACATTGAGAGTCAGGAGTCTGTTTACTGCAAGCAACAGGGGAAAGATAATATGTCGTCTTCACCAAGTGACTGCAGCAAACTCTTTGAACAGTCTTGTGTCTGAAGATTGTATTTCAAGACATATCTATCCTTCATAAATGCACGGAAGTATAGGATTTCAGTCTACATTAAAGGAACAAGTGACAAAACGCACTTAATTAGACTAAATACTTACTGAATCTTATTATTGAGATCTTGCAAAAAGAATGGAAAACTCTGGCTTATGACAAAACCACCCCAACACTACTTCATCTCAAGTACTCACCCTGTTGAAAAAAATAAAATACTTCAAGTGTTTGTTTTTCTTTTTTTTTTCTTCTTTAAAAAAAACCCAATGACCACCTTTCATCTACATTTCTGAATAGCTCGCACTGTTTTGGATTTGTTCATTAGCTACTGGGGCCAGAATCAGTGACAAATGCTGTCAGATTCATGTTTCAGTCATGTTACAAAAACCCTCAGAGAACAGATAAGGGTGTATCGACCACTTCAGGAACAGGAATGTGCAGATAATACAGGATGTGCATGTTCTGCAAATGTCCTTTGCAGACAACCCTAAACTCGATGATTTCTCTAATGATGCACCTTGGCTACATTTAAAATACAGTTTTGTGGAACAAAATATTACGTATTATTGATTTTTAAGAAAAGGTAGTACTACAGGGAGCTAATATACAACAGCTACAGTAATGTTTATCTTAAATGTGCATTGGGCAGAGTCCTTAAACTGCTCTTATTGCAAATATCCAAGGCCTGCTCTAAAAATCATAACAGTCTGAACCTTTTAAATGCAAATTTGTCCTATTTATCTGGTCACAACCCAGTGAGTAGAATCCAATAACTCACCAGATTAAAGGATATACAGGATTATATAGCTGAAGGTAATTGCAATTAACTAATAGCTGGATGGCATTTAATACACATATTGTATTATTTCAATGAGATGAGACAGAATAATATTTACATTGATATGAGAGTTTTCTCTTTATAGAAATAGAATTTACAGTTCAGTTAGGTATGCAGGCGTTATATCAAGAATAAGATGAGACCATTTAAAGTCTTGTGAATTATTGATATAAATTCATTTTGTTTTGTTTCATGCACCAGCGCTTCTTGCAGTGGCACCAGAAGAGCAGTGCAGTTTATAACAGGGGAAAAAAAGAAGAGGAAAGAGCAAATGTGAAATGGTGTAATTTATTCACAATTGCTTTGAAATTCTATCTGAATTGTTTCATTATTATTCACGCATTAGAGGAATAGTCCAAAACATGACAGCATGGGTAAACAGATGCAGAGCTTGGAAAATAGGTAATCTGACTGAAGTATTCATGGCCACTATTAAACAAATGTTATATTGCTTTTGGATAAATCTGGTGATTTTATTTAATTTGACATTTTTTTCAAGATAGCAAGATAATACTGTTCGTTTCTAATGCTCTGAAATGAACAAAATAGGTGAGAATTGATGCCACATAGAATTATAATGTTGTAACAGTAGCCAGTTAGTTAAACTTCTAGAGAGTTCATGAAGAATCTGCATACACTTATTAATGGACTTTTACATACAATATCAAAGCTTAGAGTGTAGCGGTCCTGTTAAAATCTGCTTTCACTGAGTCACTATGCAAGGAGAGATTGTTCTATGAAGAAAAATCTTGGATGAGTATTTGTTTGAGACTAAACAGTAAAACTGAAATAAAATTCACAGATTTAGTATAGAAATGGTAGATAAGACTATGAGAGCTAATATTCTGAAATTGCCTAAAAATTGCAATAAATTCTGCTGCCTACTGAAATTATTAAGCCAACGATAAACAGGAAGAATGGAATATCAAAACCTCATTGCATAGTGTGTCATTGTTCTTTAATGAGGCATTCCTTCAACCTTTTACCTCTTAACACCTTTGGTGATCTTATATTATGTACCTGTAAGATAGTCAATGTTCTCTTTTAGAGATTAGGCCTACAGGAAGTATGAAATTTTAGGAATGTACTGTGCCAGCTAATGATGCCAGAATTAAGCGTCAAAAAGCTTGATTCAGGTTCAGAAGATGATTTTCAATGAATAGCTATTAACTTCTACTAATTTATTTCAGAAGGGACTTATATATACCCTCAAATATTTAAGACGCTTTGTACTATTTCTCAGGAATCCATATCTTCTCAAAGTGCTTTTTTGTTTTCACTTGAAGGCAGCATGGACTTAAAACAATACTGCAGGGAATGTACCGTTCCATAAAGCACATAAGGATGGCAGGATCCAGGAGACACAAGGCATAGAAAATTGTCGAAAATGATTAGATGGTACAACACATACTGCTCTTGAGTCATAAGTTCCATTTATGGTGACTTCTACTTCCAATATATAGGATATTAAAAAAGGCAATAAAAATGAAGTTACATGAATAAACTTCCAGAAATGAGTGGAGTTCCACCAGTGATCGTCTCTGCGCTGGTAGAGGTAGAAGAATGGGGGATGTTATGAACAGGGCAGCAGTCACTACAACAAATGAGCCTCAATGCGGAGCCAGTGGAGTCCTTGGTGAACGTAACGAACCAGATTGGTCATACTGCTGTGTTGTGTTAAGGGTCCCATCACTGAGTCCAGGTCTACAAAGAATTCTGCAATACACAAGAAACAGAAGTCACTGTTTTAGACAATGGTACAGAAATACATGTATTACCATGATTTCCCACTCAGTAGCAGCAGTGCAATTAGTGAGTTCTCAAGACATGAGCACATGGTCAGTAGGAAAGAATTTAAACAAAGGCAACAATAGATTTAAACAGACAAAACTAGATTATCCATGCAGGAAGTCAACCACAACACCGTGTGAGTGGTGGCCAGTAGTATTCCTTTAGCTCTGATGATCTGCACTTTCAGATTACTGAGCTTAGGTTTGCTGACTTCATAATTTAAATAGCTGGCAATGAACTGTGGCATTTCCTTCTCCATGCTGTACCCTCCCCTAGGCATGAAGGGATAGTCTGGATCTTGCAGAAGACCTTTCTGGCTCTTTTTCCCACCCTCCAATTTCTGTTACTGCCATTGCAGCAGTTTTAGCCCTCTGCTCATCCTGATGCAGCTGCAGGCCCCAGAGGATGTGTGTAGGTGAGAGGGGAGAAGGAAAAGGAGAGAGGGAACACAGCAGGCAAACAGCATCTAGGAGGTGGGAACCTACAAGGAGAAAGAAAAGATGGGTAAGGCTGCTATGATCCGATGTCAGGAAGGGTTAACAAGAGATCACTAAGCAGAGAACCACAGTTAGGAAGCAACACACCAGTTTATTCCACGCTAGATGCTTTCTAGGTGAAAATCCTGTTAGGGCCAACAGATCTTTCCTATTTGTTTTCAATGGAGAAACGGATTGTGTCCTCTCTTCTCCCACAGCTTGTCTTTTGACTCACTGAGGCACAGGCATTACCACATACATCCCACGTACACTATATTTAGGCAAGTAGGAGCCCGTTCTCAGTTAAAGCCCCTCAGAGCTCAGATAACAACCAACAATCACAATAACCGGTGGCTGAGTCCTTACATTCTCACCCTATCTAAAATCCAGTGTGTGGCACTCAGCCAGCTAACAACGAATTGGCTGCAGTTCGAGAGAGCAGATGCCAGGTTCAAAATCATTATCAGTACTTTCTTCAGCAAGTAAGTGCTACTTTGAGGTCTTCTATCCAAGTACTGACAGCCTGACCCTGGTCAGCTTGGGAGCTACAGCAGTATCACAGCACAAAGTGATTTCGCTGGAGGCAAGTATAATGAAAGCTTAGGGCTATCACCAGTTGCGTTAAGATGCTGCAGCCAGCAGTTACTTTTAATCTTCCTTCCCCTGTCTTTTATTCTCCTCCTCCAGTGTAAAATCAATACATTTAGAAGTGAAAAAATGCACTGTCTTGCATCCTAGAGATCTCATTCTAGGCTCAAATAAATAATAATTGCTTTAAACACTGAGAATTCACCTTAAAGCCTAATTTCAGTTTAACATGTATTGAAAAAGCTACAAATACTGAAGCCACTTATTAAATTTATATGTGAAAGAACAGGCCTTTGTCACTACAGAGCTGATAGTTTTCTACTGTAGAGAACAAGTGCTGTTATCTTTGGAAACTTAAAAAAATAATCTGATTTTGTAAAGTCAGCTGAGAGTTTGATGTTATAAATGGTGAACAACCCTCCAGGTGATCCAGCACAAACCAGCCCATGGGTTGGCTTTGGGAAGTCTGCAGTTTAGCCTGGTTTCCTACAGATGCAGAGCTTATGACAAACTCCATCTATTCTCCCACACATTCTAAACTCTACCGATCAGGGGAAATTCAACCAGAGGTACACGGCAGCATGTTCCCACTTTCCTTTTCAAACGAGATCAGCTTGGTGGGTCACAGTTCTGCTGTTCTCCCTCTTGCTATGCCTTTTTATTTTAATGGCACATCTTTTGTCAGGCTGACAAGAAAGGCTTCTGTCTCCTGCTGTGAGCCAGCTGGACATGAGTCAAGTCCATACTGGAAGCATACTCAGAGGAGCACAAAACCTAAGCTGACAGCCACAGACAAGGGGAGGCTGCACAGCTCCTACAACATGGAAGAAACCTCCTGTGTCTGCACGGGCATGACCTAAGAAACATTTATGACAGCAGTAAGACCCAGAGGTAAAGGCTATTAGACGTTACAATGATGGGGCCACATTTTTATACCCATCTCTATTAGCTCATCAGGGACACGTCCTTGGGCAAGGCACACCCTGTGATTTAGAAGACAACAGAAACAATAAGAGCTGACCACACACAAAAAGAAGTGACCAGATCTGTTTTTTTAAAGAAAATTAATTTTCATCTTAAGTGTGGGTTTCTTTGCGGGTTTGTGTTTGTTTTCTGAGACCATTCTTCTTTCAAAGGGGTGGGTGGGTAAATCTAATTTTTTATGATGAACTGACTGCCCAAACACCTGAGAGAGAGGCCAAGAGATCTGTCCTTTACCTGGGACTCAAGGCAGAATCTGTGGTTTGCACCTATTGTGTTGGCTGTCATGAAGCATTTTTTAACTCACAGTCCACACGCCAGTGTACCAGAGCTTGGGCACTGCGATGGCTGGTCCAGCTGGCAAAGGAGTATTAGAGATAGCTATAGGGAAAGGGATGAGTCCTGTCCCAGCCAGCAAGATATAGGTGTTTGGAATTATTTGAGAGGTGCAGATGACATCTAAAATAATTACAGCTAGGTTTCATGAAACACTGTAACGTTTCTCATGTCAAAGTCTCTTAAATATATCCTTCTGTAAATGGAATCCATCATGTGATATGATGACGACCTTCACAGTACCACAGCAGTTCTTACATACTTTTTTGTTACACCATAATTTTTCAAGCTGCAGTTTAATTGTGTTTAAGCATGCAACTTTAAATTGAGTATTTAATTAGAAATGAGGTATCTTTCCAGACAAAATGTAGCAACAGACACGCTATAGTATGTATGAAACTCTGATCTCTCTCCAATGGTTTATAATACTTAAATGAAATTCAAATTAACATGAACTTTCTATTCTCTGTAACACGGCTGCAGTTTGTGAAACAAGATATGAAAGAACAGGGCACAACCCTAGATGTCTTGCTCATTTGAGAAACCCTTATTCATGCATCCAGTCCTACTAAAGTCAAAGGGACTGCTCATCTGAATAAAGATTATTCCTATATGGGTTTGCAGAATTGGGTTTATTTGATCGTAAATCAAAATGAGAACAAAGAAGAGTGTAGGGGGGAAAACGCAGAAAAAGAGTCAGCAGGTTTTTTCTCATCCAGCTCTAGGACTGATAACAGCAGTGGCTGGGTACATTTTCTTTCTGCTGGCTGAATGCCTGAGCTATTTTGATTCAATACCAAGTAGAACATTTAACAACTCCACAACACACAGAGCTAATTACAAGATTATCAGCATCTCTTTCTCCTATCAGAGCATCCTTCTGCATTCCCACTGTAGCATTCTCCAGTACATTTGACAGGGAATCACTTTCACATTTTGTGAAAATGGATGCAGCTATGGAAAAAATCCAAAATGACTGTACTGCTACTAAATTAACCAATGCGAACAAAGACAAGAAGCAGTGGGGAGGACTGGACAGAACTTCTATTATTGTTCTTCATCCAGGGACAGATCATTATGTCCCACCATTCAGACATAAAACTCTATAAATCTCAAGCTTAGTTTCTCTAAATCAGTGGAAATTTGCCACTGACATTAATGGGAGTAAGATCAAACTGCATACAGCGAGCACATTTGTCAGGAAAAGTCAGCCATCTGAAATCTCAGTATAATTTAAGAGAATGAGCCAATTCATGATGAGAATAATTCCCAGTTAGGCTCTGTACCTCTCGTGTCAAAGAAAGCTTTGTCAGTGATTTGTGTAAGCCCAAAGCTGGAATCTGAATAATTACATTATCATGGGGAAGTTCACAGCTGGCCAACAATAGGCCAAATTTGTCCTTTAGTTACATCTCAGCCACTCCACTATATTCGATACAACCCAGTTACAAACTCCTTGCCAAAACTCCTTTGAAACGACTGTGTTAAAGACTTACATTTTGTTGTTAGAAATAAACAAGCAGATTTGCAATCCAACCATAGGAGAGTCAAGGTCATGGCTTTCAGTGGACATCTACTAATTGGACTCCCTGTGTAAACATAACATCTAATGTTTGCTTATTATCCTAGCTAACATTTTAATAGTCTTAAACCCGTTGACAGAGCAGTCTGAAAATAACCTCAGTGCTCTATGAGAAGTTGAAACTGTGAACAAATTTGCAGACTCAAAAGCTCTCATCACTTGGGGCTCTTGTTCACTAAATTATTTGCCAGCTGCTCTGATAACCCCATGTTCAGCGTGTGTTACACATCCCCCCTCAGTGCTTGACAAGAGAAGATACGCATTGGCTACAGTGACCAGCAAGCAGATTTGGTCTATTTGCTCAAGCTGTCACAGTTGTGTTCTTAGATGCGGTGGTTCTGGGTCCAATTCCCAACAATGCCTACAAAAACAGAAAGAAAGCTAAGGCTGATGAGCCAAAGGGGACAAAGACAACAATGAATGGGGCACCTTTGTTCTCCTTAGTCAGCTTGTCAGCCATGTCCCAATGCTCGTAGCTCCGCAGGACGTTGTTGGTGATGTTGACGTGGCTGGCGGCCATGTGGTGGATGCGCTGAGGGATGGTGATGGTCCCCGCTGAGGAGGAGCTGGTGGTGCCCCCGCTGCTTCCAGCAGAGCTGACAGGGGATGGGCTCAGGGACATGGGTGATGGTGTTTCTGTGCTCCTGTGAGAAGTAAAGGGAGAGTGAGTCCCCCTTGCACACACTGCTTCATTGCCATACTAAATGCACTTGAAAAATTAACTCTGTGCCCCAGTCAGGGGAGAATTTGCAGTAGTATCTCTTGGTTTTATGAGAAAGGAAAGCTTATAAACGGGGAATGATTGAAAATAAAAAGGGATTTAATTCTCCCTATAAATGAACCTGTTATTTAAAAAAAAAAAATCTATCATAAAAATAGAGCAATCTTTCAAAGAAAGAAGTATCTCATAGCTGTAATGATTTTTCTACCTGCTGCCAGAAGCTGCAATGGCAGTTAGAAAACACTCAATGTGCAATATTGGCTTATTATCAAAGCATTTTGTGGAAACCACAATGACAGTTTTCTCCAAATACAGTCACCACAATAAGTAAAGTGCAAGTCTTAAAAGCACCCTGCAGAGCAGTATTAGGAGCTGAGGGTACTGTAGGATTATGAATATCTCTATAGGATTCTTTAAGAGTGGCTATGGAGATTTGTCTCTAATTGCCTACAGTTCATCTGCAGTTTTGTACAGAGCAGTGTTTTAAGATATCTACTTAGTGCAGCAGTAATGTTCTAATATAGATTTTCCTTTAATTCTAACACCAGCAATTAGGAATTACCTGCTGGCTGCAGGCAGTGGAGAGGTCAGCACAGCAAGTTCATGTTTAGAGCTGTGCAGTGTCAAACACCCACATACAGCTATTCTTTCTGAAAATGTATAGAATCATAGATTCATTGAATCGTTTAGGTTGGAGAAGACCTTCAAGATCATCAAGTCCAACCGTTAACCTAGTACAGACAAATCCACCACCAAACCATGTTCCTAAGAACCACATCTACAGAACTTTTAGATACCTCCAGGGACGATGACTCAAACACTTCCCTGGGCAGCCTGTCCCAACACTTGATAACCCTTTCAGTGAAGAAATTTTTCCTAACATCCAATCTAAACCTCCCCTGGTACAACTTGAGGCCATCTCCTCTTGTCCTATTACTTGTTACTTGAGAGAAGAGACTGACACCCACCTTGCTACAGCCTCCTTTCAGGTAGTTGTAGAGAGTGGTAAGGTCTCCCCTGACCCTCCTTTTCTCCAGACTAAACAACCCCAGTTCCTCCAACTGCTCCTCATAAGACTTGTGCTCTAGACCCTTCACCAGCTTTGTTGCCCTTCTCTGGACACACTCCAGCATCTCAATGTCTTTCTTGTAGTGAGAGGCCCAAAACTGAACACAGGATTCGAAGTGCAGCCTCACCAGGGCCAAATACCCGGGGTCAATCACTTCCCTAGTCCTGCTGGCCACACTATTTTTGATACAAGCCAGGATGCTGTTGGCCTTCTTGGCCACCTGGGCACTCTGCTGGCTCATCTTCAGCCACCTGTCGACCAACACACCCAGGTCCTTTTTCCACCAGGCATCTTTCCAACCACCCTTCCCCAAGCCTGTAGCATTGCTTGGAGTTGTTGTGACCCAAGTGCAGGACACAGCTCTGACTCTTGCCTTGTTGAACCTCATACAATTGGCCTTGGCCCATCGATCCAGCCTGTCCAGATCCCTCTGTGGAGCCTTTCTACCCTCAAGCACGTCAACACTCCCACCCAACTTGGTGTCACCTGCAAACTTACCGAGAGTGCACTCAATCCCCTTGTCCAGATCCTTGATAAAGATATTAAAAAGAACTGGCCCCAATACTGAGCCCTGGGAAATACCACTTCTGACTAGCCACCAACTGGATTTAACTCCATTCACCACCACTCTCTGGGCTTGGACATCCAGCCAGATTTTTACATACGCTTGTCCAAGCCATGAGCGCCCAGTTTCTCCAGGAAAATGCGGTAGGAAATGGTGTTAAAGGCTTTACTAAGGTCCAGATAGACAACAGCCACAGCCTTTCCCTCATCCACTAAGCAGGTCACCTTGTCATAGAAGGAGATCACGTTAGCCAAGCAGGACCTGCCTTTCATGAACCGATGCTGACTGGGCCTGATCACCTGGTTGTCCTGTACGTGCCACATGATGGCACTCAAGGTGATCTGCTCCATAACCTTCCTCAGCATGGAGGTCAGACTGACAGGCCTGTGGTTTCCCAGATCCTCCTTCAGGCCCTTCTTGTAGATGGGTGTCACATTTGCTAACCATAAGTCAACTGGGACCTCCCTGGTTATCCAGGACTGCTGGTAAATGACTGAAAGTGGCTTGGTGAGCCTTTCTGCCAGCTCCCTCAGTACTCTTGGGTGGATTCCACTCAGCCCCAGAGACCTGTGTATGCCTAAGTGGTGTAGCAGGTCACTAACCATTTCCCCTTGGATTACTAGGGCTCCATTCTGCTCCCCGCCCCTGTTTTCCAGCTCAGGGCACTGGATACCTGGAGAACAACTGGTCTTACTATTAAAGACTGGGGCAAAGAAGGCATTAAGTACCTCAGCCTTTGTTACTATGTTCTTGGCCGCATCCAATAAAGGACGGAGATTCTCCTTTGCTCTCCTTTTGTTGCTAATCTATTTCCAGCAGACATCCGGTAAGTTGAAGTTCCCCCAGTGAGAACAAGGGCCAAGAATGTGAGACTTCTCCCCGCTGCTTATAAAATATTTCATCTGCCTCTTCATCCCGTTTGAGTGGTCTCTAGCAGACTCCCACCATGATATCTGCCTTGTTGACTTTTCCCTTGATTCTTACCCTTAAACACTCAACCTTATTGTCACCATCATTAAGCAACAGACAACCAAAATACTCCCTGACTTACAGGGCTACCCCTCCACCTCTCCTTCCTTGCCTATTCTTTCTGAAGAGTTTATAGGCATCCATTTCAGCACTTCAGTTGTGCGAGTCATCCCACCTGTTTCTGTGAGGAATTTGCTTCAGTGAAGAAGGTTAAGGGTTCCAAAAATCTCTTCTCTTGCCCCCCATTTGGAACCACTTACCTAAACAAATGCATTCAATTTTCTGTGGAATACACTTGAAATGCAGGGCTGAGATGCTCCCAGCACTCTGCATGAAGAAAAGACACCAGAACTCTCCAGATGGGGAAGTTGCAGCCCATCTCTTGACAGGCAGCCACTGGTGCCTCATGCTGTTCAACAGCATCAAACTCACTCAGACTCATTATGGGCCTGATCCAAACCCCAGGATAGAAAGGGTCCTCCTCTTGGCTTTACAAGCCACTGTCAATGGTCCTGAACATGAAGTGTGGGCACAGACCTGCTGTGCTGATTCCTTGCAGGTGCTGTAGGACAGACTGCCACCACAGCACAGCCTTGGGCTGAAAAGGCATTTATGGCAACAGCTTTTGCTGCAGATTTTCCAGCAGCGCCCTGCAATACATTCTTTTTCCAGAGCTAGAGACCATGTTAATTCAGCAGCTAGTAGCTTTTTACACAGCTTATGTGTTATAGTTTAAGCATATCCTACGGCACAAACATTTTATTTTTAAATCTCAAAGCATCCTGGTTACTTGACACACCACAGTGTCTTTAATGCACAGAAGAGCTGAACTATACTAGATTAGGTCTGGGAGCAGTTAAAAATCATAAGTATCTGAGGAGACCAGGAGTATTTTGTTAGAGCCACTTACAACAAGCTGACGCACTTCTGCCAAATAAAGCACATTGTTCATTGGATTTACCCTGTTGTGCACAGCCATTATTACTGTGGTGAGTCTATTAAATCTCTCTATTTTGTGCTTTCTGTCGCTAGAGGTGGGAAACATTTCTGTAATGAAACTAGGGAATATTTGTTTCATTGCCAGCCTGGAACTCAGGCCAACTTTGTAGAGGTTCACAACCCTTTCAAACAAAAGTGGCCAGAAATTCCAGTAAATCAAGCTGAGATTTTTGATGGTTAGAGATCCTGAGCACACTACACTTCATTGCAATGGGTAAGTTTTGCTTTGTTCAAAAAAAGATTTAAGAATACTCTGCTGTCTCCCTGCTCTAAATGAGGCTGCTGATCCGTCTCCAGTGGTGCCATACTCTGATGGTGTTTGGTCTCTCTGTGGTGGGCAACTTCTCTTCCCATCTCGTACAAATTTGCAGGGGAATAAGAGGAAACTGTAGAATGAGTAGCTCTGGGTAAGGAAGAGCACATGCTGCCAGTGGCAGCACCAGGCCCGTGACAATCCTTGGGGCCACCAGGAGATACCTGAGATATATGGTAACTCTGAGCCACCCGGAGAGCTTTTCTTCTGAGACTCCAGACAGAGGGGACAGAAGATCCGAGTGTGGACTGTGGTCTGTGTGTGTTGTGTCACAGGTGTCATAATAACATGATTATAACAAGACCTTGTCATATTCAGTTATTCTTACACATGAAGTGCTTCCTTCTCTGAATAAAAGATAGAGATGTACATTTTCAGAGCTTTACTTCCTTATCTCCAAAGTTAGTGGGAAGAGACTGCCCAGCTGGGTGTTATGATAGAAGTGATGCCGGCCCAAATGCTGGGTCTCTGCTGCCTACCTCGTGACTGGACAAGAATTTTCTTCCCCAGTCAAAACCTACTGATTCTAAATTCTGGACACCTCATCAGCTCCTTTAAGTAGCAAGGGAGATGTCATCACCTGCAGAGCACACACTTCATAGGGGGTCTTATTATAGGACAGGAATAAAAGGATAACTTCTGCTCCATGAAATGTTTAGGTATAAGCTACTTCATAAGGAATAAAAGAGGTGTAATGCTCCAGTGGTCTATTTTGTCACTAAAAATTTATGTAAAACTTACTGTATTTTTATTGCAATACAAGGTTTCACTGACATTTAGATGCTTTGAAAAACTGGCATATATTGAGTAATTTAATTTAATAGTTGCTTTTCCAATGTTAAAAGATCTTTTTGGTTTTTAAATAACATGATTTTGTATTTCATCATTTTAGTTTGTGCTATAATCTATACTTTAATATCTATATATACACACGTATTCAAAATAATTGTATTTGGTGTATATGCACACACCAAAATATTTTGAATTATCTAAGACAACATTTTCCTTTAAGCAAAATGTTAGAATTTTTGTTTCTTCACTGATTCAGAACAAAGTCTGTTTGAAAACTCCAATTCTTTGTGTGCTAAACTTCAAGCCTTTCTACAGTTCTATTGCTTTGTTCCCTTAGTGTGTCTAAGTAATTTCTTCTTATGAACCACCAGAAAGAGACCATTAACAATAATAATTTTCACCTAGAATTCAGCCTTCTCAAATAAAGAAGGAAAGAAAGGTAAAGTCCTTCTCCTTTGTTTTACCTGTATCTGTATGCATGGCCAGGAGAAAGGAGCAGGAGAGATGTGTGTCAGGTGGCAAGAGACATTGCAAGATAAAGGCAAGGTTGTAGCAGCAATGCACCTTCATTGAACAGCAGATCGTAATTGCATTACCTTGACTTCATATCTGAGGCAAGGGTGTTTTAATGTTAGTATAAAGCCACTGATAATTGTTTGACTAAGTGCCTTCACATTTTCACCACTATTATGCCTTCAGTTTTATTAAACAGCACTTACCATATATCAATGAAATATTCATTGGTCTTACATTACTGAACGAATCATTGAAAAATCATTGCAATGAAGGTTAACTTTACTTTGGCTTCCTGAAATGACACGGTACTTGCTAGCTAATTAACAGATAGTTTTATGGCCTTCATTTGGCTTGAGAAGCAAGCTGTCAAAGAATTCAGTGCGGCCCCCCCATGGCTAATTTTAGACTTAAGGGGCCTTTGCATCAAGATGAAGGTGTGTTTCAGCTCTTCCTTCCCACCCACACTGGATGGGGTACCTGATTTAGCCTAGTGGGAGCCCCTTGCCCCCAAAAGCCCAAGGCAGCTGTAAGATCAATTCTGTAGTCCAGATAATATTTTCTACCTGCTATGTATTTGAAACTTACCTGTAGCTCTCAAACCACTGAGTTATGGCCTGTCCTTTGCCTTTAGAGGCATCAAAACATTTTCCCCCCTCTTGACACCACTTGTTCCCAGACAGAAGTACTCAGCAGAAAATACTCACTTTCCATTGCCACCCCAAGGTGACGGGGCCTGTGAAGCTTTTGAAGAGTTCTGTAAGTACAAAACCAAAATGTAAATAAAGGTGACGAAAGTACATGAATACTAACGACACAAGGATCAACACTCCCTGTTTCATTGCAAGAGTTACAGTGCATGTAGCAGAAGAGCTCTGCATATCTGTCCCATAATTAAATGGCTGGTGGATGATGGGTAGGTTCCAACCAGTAGCTTGAAAATCATGAGGGAATACATTTAGGTTCCAGTAAATGCAGATGTAGTTCACAAAGAATTGGTTTAATTACCACTGAAACTTATTCTACAAAGTAAGTTCTTCAGACTGGAAATGACTTCTTATCTTTAGTAGGACCTGCAATCTTTCAATAAAAAACAAAAAGAATTTGGGTTGATGCCTTAATGAAATTTATCCCTCCCAAGTTGCTAGGGAAGGTGGATTGGGATTCGGTTAATAGTAGGAAAAAACCTTCTAGTAAGGATCTGCTTGAATGCCTTTGCTTACATGTATTTTATTTGCACAAATTGACCGTCTTTACCTGCTTACTCATTCTGCTTTTCACATCTGTGTAGCACCTTGTACAACCCTGTACAAAAAGACTGCCCAGCAACAGTAAAGCCCAGATTTTTCCAGTCTTGCTCAGTCTGGGTGGTATCTTACTTAGTTCCCATAAAAAGTGGTAGTATCAGGGCTGAAGCTATCTATGTGTTCTTTCTGAAAACAATCACTCTGAGCTCCTTTGCAAAGAAGTCAGCACACAAAGTGAAAACTCAATCAAATTTTACAAGTTCTCTGAAAAGTATTGCTGTCATTATTACAAGATTCATCTGGTTACTGTAATTTCTATTTTGCATGTAAGGCACACAGATTCAATGGAGCACAGAGCAGCCCAGGGCAACGCCCAAAGTCATGCAGCTGAGTCTAGGAGCAAAATCCTACCCTTGACTTCTAAAACAAAACTAAACTTGCCAAACTGTATTGACCAAAGAAGAAAACACTGCTCAAACCATGATACTGGCATTGCCTGTATGTTCCTATACAGCATGTCACTGTGTTTGATTAAAGATGTGAGCATGAAATGGAGTCTTTTTCAGTACATAACATATTTAGTGCATATTTTTGCCATCCATTCATATGTAAGAAGGAGGGAGATCCTAAACTACCCTGGAAAGTCTTCAGAGATGAAGAAGGAGCTTTGATGTTAGTCTCTACAGTCTGAAGATTGTTCCTGACAGTATCTAGAGACAAATACTAGATCTGTCAAGATTAAGACTAGATCTCAATATGATGTAGTTGTTTGCAAATGAAAATACTTGAAATATTTTTGCTAATGACTACTGACAACACAAAAACGTAAAAAAAACTTCCTCAAACTTTTAGGTGAAATGCATCAAGGGATGCCACGTTTGCTAGTCTTAAAAAGTTTGATTTAAATTTTTAAAATTTATCATGTTAGTTAAATTTTACTCCAAGTTGTCTCTAAATTTCAAAACTACTTTTATGATTAAATGTTTATTTTCTGTTTTGAAATGTCAAAAATATCAAATTGAAACTTTTAATTGGAAATTAATCAGAACCAGTTCTGTCCACAAATGGTTTCAATTTGGACAAAGTGGCATTTGTGAGGAAAAATATGAAAAACAATTCTGCCAAAAAATTCCTCTCCTGCTCTACTGTAAACAATGGGCTACTTTTCAGTTAAAATTGTGCAAAATTTGGAATAACAATTCTATTCAAAGAGTTAATTTATTTCACTTGTATTACAGATTCTCGCTAGTGAACACAGAGAACATTGTGCAGCAATACAAAACTAATATGTAGTTAATAGCTCCCATTCTTTTCTTTTCTCCTCCTGTGACTTTGGAAAAAGATCCTGAACATATAATGTGTATACACTCAAACACTACTTCTAGTAAATGAGTTACAGTGCCCAGCGCATACACACAGTAACATTAGCTGAAATACTCAGCTTTAACTGTATACCTAAACCCAGCATTCCTGATTTTTCTATTTTATTACATTTTAATTTTTTTTTTCTTATTATTTTCATGTACATTAAAAAACATTTTTTTTCTGTGCAGATGCAGTAAAATGGTGTTATGCTGGGAGTACTTCATTGTACCTATTTGCAAAGCTAGAGAAAGTAAAGTGGCTTCCAAGGAAGAGAGAATCTCTCCCACTCCCCCCCTTTTTTTTTTTTTTTTTAAGAAATCATTACTTTCTGCAGAAAGTTTATCAAATGATTTGTCTAATAATCTTTTTCTTTTTTTTTTCTTTTTTTTTTTTTTTTAAGAGACAATCTACATTCATCCCAGGTAAAATCTGAAGTGCATAGAATACATTTAATGAAAATGCTGAGGCTGTAAATATGTCTAGTTCAAATTTAATTTGTTGTGCAAATCCCTGACTGAAAACTCCATGAGTATAACAGAGGCACTCCTAATAACTTCAAGAGAGCCTAAATTTAAGTAGAGCAACATTACTGAAGTTACAGAGATACACATACACACAGAGGACACTGGGGAAGTCAGGTGATTGCTAGCATGATAGCACTGGAGTTTTACAGCTGAAGGACCATTCTATCATCATTTTCATGAAAATATTCAAACTCTGTTGTTAAAAGTTCTACTGGTTTACAGTATTAATATGTCAAAGCCTGGAACAAATTCACAGAGGCTGAAAAAAACAACAAAAAAAGACTGATGGGCTGACCAACTAGTATAATTACATAATTATAGAATAATATGTAGTAATAAAGTACAAGAATTAATGTATGCTTCAAACAGCATTAACCAATAAGATACATATATCAAAACCTTGGCAGAGCTGAAGATTCTGTTTCTCTCTTAATTTAGGAACAGTGATTACTTGACATTCTTACACTGGGTAAACAGCATTTGAGAAGGTAAAGGAAAACATTACCGAGTCATGACAATCAGCTGATCTGCACTCAACTCAAGGTAAAGGCAAAATTTCAAGATGTATATAAGGCAGCTTGAAGTTCACAGATATAAAAGGAGAAATCCTTGAGTCTGTAATAAGCTTCAGCAAATCTCATTGAATTTAAAATGTAAATTTAACTAACTAAAGCCTAAATAATTGCTTTATTATGGTTCATTGTTGGTCAGTTCATAATCACTTACGTAAAATCTTGAAATAATCAGTTTCCTTTGCAGAAATCTGCATAAACATTATATGGTGTTGAGAATAATGTTATTTTATTAAAATTACTGAGTATGGTCCTTTGAATCAACTAATCCAAAAATCCCCCAAATGACTTCTGTTCCCAGTCCCTGGCAGCCATCCTGCCTGCATTTCCCAGGGGAGAGGTTAAATGTGGGACTTAAGTCATGCAGTTATACTCGTGAGAGCTCTCAGTGCTGGTATGAATTTCATTTCATATCAATAAATTAAACAGAATAAAGATTACCTTAAAATATTCCATCAGAGATCTGGAGTACTTCATAGCATGGTCCTTCTTTAGTTTAAACATTCTCAAGTAGAGAAGTGATAAGCATCGGTAGCTGTGGTAATTAGGAAAGGATTATGTTAATTCCATTGCTTAATGAAACCTATAAACTGTAAAAAAAAAAAATGCTGACCTATATTTTGCAGTTTCTGTTCTAAGGTTAGATTTTGAAACATAAGCAAAAGGAGAAAGAAAAAAAAGTGGTCAAAAGCATTAAAATCCCATCTTGATAAGAGTATAAATTAGAAGAATAAATGTTTAGTCAGCTGCTGAAGAAATCCATTAGTTATCCTTTAATAGTTTAATGGAAAACAAGAATAATGATCTTCTGTAAGCTGCTTAAGCAATTCAGTACTTTTAAAGTCCTCCTTAAGATTTTAGCTGCTTCTCTCATTGTCGCAATGGGACTTACCATAAAACTGCTAATTTCTTGTCCCCTTCTGTGGCAGAAGAGCCTGTGAAATTCTTGAGTCTCATTGCATACCTTATCAGAACGGTGAGGAGAGAAGAAATTGAGAGTTAAGATGTTTCCAGGATTACTAGTGACACTCTGAAAAATAACAGCCACACATAGATATTCTTCTCCAGCTGCAATAGTTAATGGTCACATTGTTCTGTAACAATGAGATCAATGTAAAATTCACCAGAAAGCACCACTTAAAATCTGGATGGCTAAAGTAAATCACCAACCTATTTTCTGGGCCAACAAGGTGAACTATTCTTGGATATATTAATGACATTGTATCCAGCCATCTGGGCTGAGTCCTGCAAACATTTGTGATACGTGTTGGACAGAAGCATAAGATCTTGGCTCTATAGGGGCCTGAAGAGTACTATACTGAAGAGTAGAGTAATATATAATAGTATTTTACATATAATGTTTTCAACTTGAATAATACCTTCAAAATCCTTCTCATAAATGTTTCTTCCAAGATTTTAATATACTTTATATAGAAAATGGTTCTGCATACAGGAAAGGTCATATTCACAGCTTTTTTAATTCCTGGGACCATTAATTTATGACCCTTATGTACTTGGTCTTCCCTCTCTATTTAATTGCTGCTGTCCAGCATTTGGATGATTGAAGATTGAGTATTCCTACCTCCTATCTTTTTTTTCTTTTTTTTTCCTTTAACTGAGCACACTCCATTCCATACATTTAGTCTCTTGAAAATCAATTCATCACATAAAATCATTGTTCTGAGCCCTAATGCAATTTCACAGGTACTTGTGTTAGAATAAGTAATAGGATTCAGCGTTGCGTAAGAAAGTTTTAAGGTATCCAGGCAGTCTTGATGAGTTCTCATTTACAAGGAGGTAATGGAGTGCAGGCAGGCAGTGCTGCTCTTGCTCTGCCTTCCTCCCAACACCCCCATCATCAGTCCCCAGCTTACAGCTGTAGCACACCACCTGATGTGCTTCCTCCATGTCCTATCTCACCTGCTCTTTGGTATTGTTCCAGTTCTACTGAATGAATCTGATCAAACACAGAGATATATGCCTCTTTGGGATTTTCAGTGTTATGTTAGGGATTTTAGCATTACTATTAACTTAAAACATCTTTGACAGTCAGATCTCTTATATTCCCAGTCTCTTTGATGCTCTACTTGCTTTGACAAATAGGTGTCTATGAAGATACTCAGGGCAGACATAGCTAATGCAAAAGGGGAAAAGGGTGCTTCTGATGAAGGGAGGAGTGAACGTGAGAAAAATCTCCTTCTGTTTCTTATCTCACAGTAAAAATCTATGTTAACATTAGGAGACACAATGAGAAAGTGTGTGTGCACAGCTGCATACTTGGTTTGTACATTCAGCACCCACTGTAGCCCACAACTGTATATTTGTCCATGGAGTTTATTGAACCTGTACCAGTCTGATGCTCACCTGGACAATCATCCTTTTTCCATGTCTGACCACTGACAGCAATTTAATGGGCAAATCAGTCTCTCACTGGATGCCTACAAGAGTTCGTAAATTAAGCTCCACCTTTGATGGTAGGCGGTGGAATTAATCTCACCTGACTAACTATTTAGAAATCGGAAATCTACTATAACAAAGTCCTCCAGATTCTTCCATACCCAGAAGGAGTTCAAAAAGCAATTCAAAAGCAGTTCAGGTGCTGCTTCCATGCCAAGGTCTACCTATCATGTAGCAGGACTATACTGACATGGGAGCTGCTGGGAAGAGCAAGGCAGTGTGGCCGTGTATGCTGGTGAGTACTAGTTACTCCAAGATGCAGCTATGCACTCACTGACTCCATCCTGCACCAACACTGTAGGGTGGAGGGAAGCTGCAGGTACCACCCGTGTGTGAGCTACTGCTAGAGCTGCTATTCTCTGAGTTGTGGTGCATGTGTTGCGGCTCTCGAACGAAAGGAGATTTTTAGTCCATCCACTTCTGAACAGACAGACTGCTGGACTGAGGAACAATGTTTTCAATGGTACTGTGTGGTTTTCTTAAAAAATAGAAATACACGTGGGTACCTATGAAGCAGCACTCACTTCTTTAAAGGGTTTTTCTTTAAATACAATTTATCCTGCCTTACAACTGTAGTTTTGTAGTTCAGGACACAAAGTACTGAACTGTCCATTGTCAGAGTGCAGGAGGAGTTTCAGCACAGGGGAGCAGAGGTAGGCAGCTCCTTTTATTAAGTCCTCTGCTCTCGACGGTTTAACTTGGATCGCAAGTGTTGAGTGAACATAATTTTTTTGTTGAGTAATTTCTTTAGATTTTCTTTTTCTCTTATTAAGTGTAGAATGTAAAAACATGTTTTTAAATATTTAACAGGCATATTATTTACCTGAGAGTAAGAGCTTCTTAAGATTTGATAAATTTTATTATGCAAATAACCTACTTACTCAAAATGTAAAACATGCATTATTTTTGGCAGTCTCTGATAGCTAATCTGGCATGTTAAAATCCTGCACATTAAAAAACCCACCTTTGTCATATTAAAACCTGAATGTTTAGGGCCTGATTTGCCTCCTTTTCTTTCTCTTGTGTAAACTGCCAGTAATTACACTGACATTAATGGTGATATTCCAGGTATACACTGGGGAAAGCAGAGGTGCATCACAGTGAAGAGGAAAAATCCTGTTGTTTGACTTACAGGTAAATTTAATCCTGCTTGATTTCACTTTGATAATTTGTGTAAACAAAGCAAACAAGCCCTTAGTTACTCAGGAGACCATTATTTCTATAGAGTCAACACTATGAAACAACTATAGGGAAGGGCAGCAGATTTTAAAATAATAATTCAGAAATGTAATTAGTAAGTAAAAATCCATATTCTAGCCTACAAGTCTACAACACTGTATTAAAGCTAATTCAGCTGGTTCACATGCCTTTAACATTAAATATACTTTTTTAATATAATACATGTGGAAAGCTTCCTCTCTGGCTATGATCTTTTGTGTCAAGTGTCAGCTTTTTTTTTTTTTTTTTTAACAGCCAAGTTATAAACCTCTAAAAACAGGGTTTATAATAGAAATCCTGATAGACTCGCTTTAATGTTTTGAATTATAAAACTACACCTTTTAAAAGACAAGTGTCATTGCCAAACAGTGAAATTACTATACTTTACTTCCACCCACTACATTTCAATTTTAATTTTATGAATATTGCAAATTATAACACTCACATTATAACCTCTAAAGGGGATAATTTATAAAAGCAGTGTCCATCAATTATAAATTTTCCATGACATTAATAAAATGGCAAGAACTAATTATGATGACTTCTGAGATGAAGATGCCTTGGACAAATCATTAATACTTTGAAATGGTATTTTTTAAAACATAGCAGGTTCTAATTATGACTGAAATGAGATTATGAAAATGATCACAGAAAGGACATTAACCTGATGAGTTCCACAGTCTCTGAGTACATGGTGTATGGAGATTTAGCTTCTAATGGATCTCGCTCCATAGCGTTCCCGCACTCGATGAAGGAGAGGGCAGCATCAGCATAATTCACTGCTTTGCCAAACTTCTCCAGCTGAAATGGGAATGACACCGTCAAGAAAATCCTTCAGCTTTAATTTCTAGGTAGACAGACCATAATACAAAGCACCACTAGCATTAGGATGAAAGCAAAGTGACGTTGGTAGTTAAAAATGAATTAATACAGTAATTAAGGCAGGGTCTATGTTTTTACCAAATCTTTGCAGGTAGTAAATGGCCAGATGCTTCACAAAGTCAATGTATGTCCATTGATATGCATGGATTTACACAGGCAACTAAGGGCCACTAAGCATGTTTGAACAAATCCATACTGCTCGTTGATATATGAACTAAGTTTGAGTGTCACTATGCAAGGGTTAAGTAACAAAGCCATGCCATTTGTCAGACATCACATTCTGTGTTAACTGTTGACCAAAAAAAAATCTCATCACTTGTGTGATGACTGAAAGAGCAGAAAAAAAAAAAAAAAAAAGGAGAAAATATAGCACTGCTAAATATTTTATTTTACCAGGATTTTATTGCAAAAGGTTTTAGCCCTCATAATGGTTGTGATTAAACTGACTTAGACATACTGATTTCTTTTTTTATGTGTAATGAATATTATATATGACATTTTTATAGTAAGTATTTTATAATAGTATTTAACATTTTCAATTTTTGATAGCTGGATGTAAGAATTCTACTGATCTGGCATTTGATATAAGAGATCCAATATACTTTTAAATAATTTAAAAATTTCTTTGTATGTCTCTATCAAAATATTTTTGATGTCTCTGCATATGTTTTCCATTCACAAAATGGAAGCCTATCCTAGCAACATACTAAGCAGAACATTTAGTATTGGTCCAAGGTAACAGTATATTTGCCTCTGTGGCTACTTCTAAGCAATCCTTATATCTAGTTCCCTTTGCATACCTTTAATTGCAAGTTCTGCTCTTGTGCACTCATTATGTACAAAGTCTTTGTATAATTGATAGGTATTACCTGAATGATCACAAAAGGGTAAATATTTCTAAATGTTTTCTCTCTATTCCAGTGGCCACTTCTCAGCATATTCTTCAAATTTCTTGCTTCAAGTCTTCCAAAGATGACTTTTTGTGGTATAAAAAAAAGGAATCTGGCTGCAAGCAGATTTAGTACAGACATACAGTTTGAGCCAGAAATGGGATCCGATCCTGCCCTTTGCTTCACGCTGACTCTAGTGGAGTAGGTGGAATTACTCCAGCTCATCACAGCTCAGCCGAGAACAAAGTGAGGTTTCCAAGATCTCTTCCATATGGTACAGTCAGTTGCCACTGCAGCAGCCCATCCAAATTAGTTGATTCCTTACTGCTTTCCCAGACAAGGATAGGTTTTCATGGGGTTGCTCCCATAAGGTGCAAAATGCCCTGCCCTTCACCAGAAATCTATTTTCTGTACAAGCTCAGGAACAGCATTGCCACAAATCTCATTAACATTTGCTGACATATTTTGAGGTCACATGCATTATCTTTCTAGCCACTGCAACACATCTTTCCATGCTGTGTGTGCTTTGTCATGTCAGCACCAAGTAACCAGAAGCAATTGTTTCCATAGGACAACTAACTCTATGGGATTGCATAGCAAGTGTGTTACATGGAGATAATTTGTGTGCAGCTGTATTGGGTGGAAAAAAAAAAAAAAAAAGTTGAGACCTAAATACCGGAAAGAAAAAGCAGATACTTTGTTCATGGGTTTTTATGTCTGCCAACAAGTTGTATTGTAGCGGACGGCCTCACATTCCCATAAGAGCACTCGGGGTGTCAAACTGCATGTGACAGGCAAGGCCTGCCTGCAGGCAGCAGCACGATGTGCTGTGCCTTCTCTTCTTAGTTCTGCTTGAGAAACACCCCTGATTCCACAAGGCATAGTCAAAAATAAGAGGATGGGAGACAGGTCAACACTTTCTGAGTGAATCAGGCCGTGGAGGGAAGTGGATTGACATAGCATGTTGAGCTCATCAGGAGCCTGAGACTGTAAATACTTGCTAGTGCGGAGCAAGCATCCCTGTGCCAGAACCATGTGTATTTTCTTTAAAGGTCAATCAGCTGTGGGAGGTGTTGTCAGTTTGCTTCTGCCAGCCTTTCCTGCGTGCAGATGTCAGAGCTCTGGCTGAACATGCTCTGCTGAGTCAGGCTGCAGTAATCAGTGCAGGCCACCTCCTGTAAATGGGCAGGTTGGGATTCAGACTGCTAACCTACCCACAGACGCAGCAGGTTGCCAAAAACCTGAACCCACCTCCCACAGAAAACTTGGTAACACTATGCCCCAAGACAAAAGGGGTCCCGGAGAGCTGAAGCAGAGAGCTTGATGTGTCAGCTCTCCTTCAGGTCACCAAAAGCAGAGAGAATGCCATTTTTTTTTTTTTTTTTGATTTGTTTGTTTTGTTTTATAAAAACATAGTATGTGATTGTTTCTGGGGTGGTTTTTTTTGGACAAACACTTATTTCCAAGTACAAAAATCTCTGATGAGGAATGATAGAATATGCATGCAAAACCCCCACAAATAATAAAGTGAGAGGTGAATAATCACTCAGTTCTTTTTCAGTTGTGATTTTCGACAAAGTGAATGGCCACACTCCATTTGAGACATTTTAGTTTAAATAAATAGAGGAGTCAAGTTCCACTAAGCCTGCCTAAATGAGCTGATGTTCTGCATTCTACATAACGTACAGCAACAAACTCCCTACCTACAAAGCAAAAAGGCACTTCAGTGCTAGCAATAGCTTGGATGGAACAAACTGTGATAGAGTATAATCTGTCAGATTAAGTAGTTTCATCAAAATCAGAACACTTTGTTAATTTAAGTCAATTTTACTGGAATTTCATCTGGGGCAAAATGAGCTAAAAAGCTAAAAAGCTTTCCCAGCATTGAACTACCTCATTGCAAGATTTTTTTGGGGAAGAAGCATGTTGAGGCTGTATTTACCAGCCTAAAAGCATGCAATAAAAATGAATGCATTATTTAAAAATCAATTGTTGCAAACTTTAAACAGTTGGATTGGAAATATCAAACAGTTTTACCACATTATAATGGGGTGGAGGGTGATTTGCCTTTCTTAACTTTCTGTTATGGAATATTTCAACACTTTTGTTTTAGGCTCAAAGTGAATAGGAAAACAAATTTCAAATGCACATTATCTTTCATGAAATCATCTTACATCCTTCATAAACAGCATGACTGTTGCTCCTCCTTGGAAAAGATATCAGGCCTTGCAAGTAGCTTCTTTTTTCTTGGGAACAAATTATTAAAGTCTAGGAATCATGTTCAGGATTTGACTTGTGGAGAGTTTGTTTATGGAGTACGATCTGAAGCACACTTTAGTCAAAAGCAGGGTTCCTCTTGGTTTCTGAGGCTTTAGATGACATTCAGAATGTACATTTTTTTATCACACAGCTCCATAGAGGAAAGAGACAAAAAACTCCGGTGATAACCTACCAATGCATCTGCTTTATGCTTTAGCTTCTTAGCCTCCTGCATGTAATAATCCGCATTGTGAAGCCTAAAGACACAAAAGAAATAATTTCAAGACTTTGTTTTCATATAGTCGGACAAACGTTGTTTGAGAAAATTGCTGACTGCTTCCAAGAATGATTTTGACATATACACCCACTTATCTCTTTAAATCTTAACCTGATATTAATTTGAAGCTGCTGTATGCCAGGATATGATGGGTGACCAGAATGTAAAATAACTAGCTGTAGAAACTGGCCACCCAAAGGACCCATTAATGTGTGCTGAATAGAGGAAAAGGAAAAATATTTTAAACTAATTAAGTATAAGAAGTTTCCATTAGAGGAGCTAAAATAAAAAAATGAAGAAGAATTACTGTGAACTAACATTCATGATCTGAAAACATTTATCAACAGAGTCTTCATTAATCAGTGACAACAGTTCATTTGTAAAGATTAAAACTGCGTGTGCAGCACTATCCACACGGGTGCCCAATGTTAGCATTATAATCAAAGATACTCTCTTTCACTGGGAGCTCTGCTTGCATGAAAATCCCAACTACCTAACATGCAGCTAGCAGAGAGATCCAATAATACTTACGCATCATCAAATGTTATTTTGGGTCTTCTGGGCTCAGAATTCCCATTGGAAAGTGTTGGCATTGCAGACCAGATGTCTGTTTCTAGATGGCTGGTGTCAAGAAGAGTGTTGGCTGTTGGTGTATTGTGAGATTCTTCCTCCTAGAAAAAAAATGACTGTTATTAACTCTTCATAGTTCAAAGAATTCCAAGATAGTTCCAACAACATAAGTGCTCATATCTGCCCCACAAAAAATCTCCCAAACAAACAGACAGCTAAGGCACAAAGTGGCAATCATATATCCCCAGCTACATCCAGGTTACCTCACAAAACCACACCTCCATCCTTTATAACATAAGCCTATTAGATTAATTAGGCAATATGACTCTACCTCTGACCCCTCACCTGAACTCGTTAACTTACACTCTTATGTGAAGTCAGCCTGGATATCACAGTGTTACTGACTAGAGAAACTGGCTAAAGCAAGGGTGGGGAAATCTGATGCCGAAGGGCTGGATGTAAACTCAACTTCATTCAAAGTGTATCACACTAATGTAACTTTTTTCCCTATATTATTATTAGATAACTGTAAGGTGTTTGAAAAGTCTGCTTAGATTTCAGCAAGGAACAGTTTCCTCACCCTTGCTACACAGAACAAAGAGAAGAATGGAATGCAGAAGTTGGGAGTTGTGACTTTGCCTTGTTTAAAACTAGAAGCATTTAAATCAGGCAATTGCAACTTGCAAGCTAGGTCCACAACCAGATAAACTAAATTACAGATGAACCAACGAACTAGGGAAAGAAGTCTAACATATTTTAGAAGACAAATATTTCATGTATGAGGATAACAGATAAACCACGGATAAATCTGATTAGAAATGCTGGGAGTGAGAGGAAGTGGCCCTGCTGTTTACATAGCACTGTTTATTTGCTGACATATGCAGTTCATTTTGGCATTGATTTCAGTTGAAGGCATGTGTATTACTCTCGCAGCTTGAAGTGACACAATGATATCAGAAAGCAACAGGGATGAATGAATAAGGTGAAGTGATTTGTCACCTATGATCCAATGCAACTTGTGAGTTTTACTATTACAATGCAGGCTAACAACCTCTTACAAAGCAGTGAACTGTGAAAAATGGAGCTATGCATGTCCTTTTCTGTCACAGATTTTTTTTCTTGTCTTTTAATTTTGACAGTGATACTAAGATACAGTTTGATACTAAATGATATGTTTGGAACTCTAGAGGGAGGACTGTTTTCTAAAATGGGCCAAAAACCTGAAGTTTCCCTCTTTAACCTAGAAGAGGATGACAAACTGATGTGAAATTTTACTTATTTTTAGTGAATTTGCTATGCAGCTTCTAGTTTTGGCTCTTTTTCATGTATTTTCAGTAAAAAAAATCTGAATCTGATGAAAAGCAAGCAAGCAAGAATTGTCTTTGTGAAAACCTTTGACGGGGACATGGCCCTAACAGAACGATGGGTTTTTTTTGGGGAAAAAACCCTGCCTATTTAAGTAGTATCTTAAAGCTACCTGATTCATGGAGATTAGGTGTAAATAAACCTTACTACTGGAAGCCTGCAAACCTGAGAGGAGATATTTCCATGTTGAACATGCTACGGACAAGTGGCTTTTCATTAGATTTTTATTGTCTATTTTGTTTAGGCCACAATATTCAGTATAACTACAGTGCTTAATTCTGGCTGAGAATTTGAGGTAATTATTCAGGTGATAGATACCAAAATTCTTGAAGTTTTATTTTCAAAATATGTGTATTGTAGCTACAGAGCTAAGGGGCTACTTGGTGGCTGCAAAGGCTCTCCTCTGAGGCGCTGGGACCGGTGTTTCAGAGAAGAATATACAACACCAAGTAGATGCCTAATGCTGACCTAAAAATGGAACTTGCAAGAGTTGCTTATGCCCAGCTCTGCAAAGATCCACTCCTCACAGCTCTTGAGTGAGACTACATAAGCATTTAAAAATAGATACGGAAAAAAAACCCAAACAAACAGAACAAAACTAATTTTATTTTATCTTGTCCAATTCCACCAACTGAGGTTGGTTACTTACACAGATTCCTTTGGGGTTAGAAGAGGATTTATTTTCATTCTTTCTGTGTTTAGAAACTGAGGAGGAAGAGCTGCTTGTCTGAGAGGTGTTTGTGATGTTGGTCTCCTGGCTGAAGGAGCTGTTGTCACTGCTGTGCCGCCGGTGCACAGGCTCGTCCAAGAGGGGGGATAGTGGAGGAGGGAACAGCTTCTCTTCTCTTTTCTTTGTCACCTTCTTCACCGAGCTACTGCTGCTCCTGGGACACAGATAAGAACCAGTTGCACTTCGAAAAGCTTGGTTAATCCTCCATAGCACAAAGCTCTAGCTTTTATTTACTGAGAAGCCAGCTCTACCTTCAAATATGTCCTGCAATCCTCGTGCCCTAGGAGCCAAGTCAAAATGGGGACAGGCAGTGAAAACAGAAGAGCTACCTCTGCCTTTTCGATGGCTGCGGAAACCTCCTGCTTTGGAGGACAATTTCCAGTGCATTAGTACAAACTGCACTCAATTTAAATGCTAATTTGAGTCAGTCTTCATTTGAGAGGTCATAGAGGTTCTGACTCAGCGAAGTGCTGGAAACTCTTAGGCATGGGGTTAGTTCCTTTGACACCAAGTATGACTGTGTTTAACATTACATATCTTTTTAAGAGGTAGATTAGGGCCCACGTAAGCAACCTTTGCAAAAAAATGTAATAACACATGGCATGTGAACCAAAAAAATAATTTAAAACAACTACAAAAATGATTGACCATAACAATAACAAGATAATAATTATTTGACCTCTAGAATAAAACCAATGTTCAACACTATATTAAAATGATACATTGTAGCTGGCAAAAGCCCTTGAGCAAATATTGGTTGATGAATTGAACGTGATTCAGAAAATGAATGTGGTTTTGACATGAAAGCTCAAGTAATATGATAATCTATTGTCTGTTTTATGTACAGAAATTGTTAGCTGGCTAGAAATGGCAGCTGTGATACACAGTAAAACCAAAGAAACCTGCTAGACCTTTCTCCCCTCAAATCCATCAAAAAAGAAAAAACAAACCCCAGCACCCCAGTGACAGTTTAACATGTTAATCTACTCATAGATTTTTATTTTAGCTGCTGTCCCAGTTCAGTCAATGAAAATAACCTGAATTTTAATCTTTTGTTAGACATCTAATATTGCACTACGTGATCATTTGCTTTGCATGATTATTGACTAAAATTTCAATAACAAATTAAGTCAACAAGAATTTATATTTTGTTCCCAGTCACTTTCAGTCAGTGTCAGGTATTATAGACCTGCTTCGCCTTAAAGCAACCATGAAATGAGGAGAAAGCAACCCAGGTTTCCTCATTCTGGTGCATTTTCTCATTCAAGTCTGGCCTCTTTTGCAGTTTCACCATCAGTATCAATATCGACACCTGTTTTGATCATTCCCCTACTTAGGGCCTTTGGTGATACAAAAATATTTCAGCCTATCTGTGAAATCACAGAGTGAAATCAAGCAAATTCCCCATATTTCAGGTTTTATAGCTCTTCTACTCAAAACTATTTTAATTTGACTGAAGCAGAGTTTAAAATATCTTATTTAAAACTCCTATATTAAAGAACTTCAGACTGAAGAAATAAAACAAACACAGAATTCACATTGCCTTACAGTAGGACTCATGGATGCTGTCTTGCTTAGAAAACACATGGGTCTGAAGATCAAAGGAAAGCATCCAGGTTGGAAGAGACTGGCAGTTCTTCGAGGAGACTGATTTTATGCACATGTAGTTCTGCAATACGTCCTCCAAAAAGTTCTCACTCAAAGCCCTATCTGTTAGCTTTCTTACCCCCAAAGGGCATTTTGGAACTCAGACAAGTTACCATAGCTATAGCATAATAATACTCTGAATTATTTCCAGAGGAAAGTTTTTCAAAGGAGGATAAGCACTGCCCCAAGAAAGTCTGCATGTGTTATTGGATTGTACAGAGGCAAATCAGACACAATTAATGAAATACCCAGGAGCAGAATCCAAATCCTCTGCCTCCCAAACCTGTCCCCCACACAGGCAATCCTGAATATGCATATGTAAGTGGGAGCACAGAGTGAAGTGGTTCTCCATGCTCCTCTGCATGGAGGTGTGTGGAGCTCTTTCTCCCTGATATAGCTTTGCAAAGGGAAGAGCAACCAAGTCAGCAGATCTTTCAAAAGCATCTGAAGGAAAACAGAATGTGAGCCATTGGCCAAGTCCCCTTTAGGATCTGATCCTGCACCACTAGTGAGGTTCCTCGGCAGATCCGTGGCTATTTCCAAGGCTAATGCAGGACTCTGTTGCTTGCACAGAGTCTACTGTTGCATGGGGAAATTTAAGGCACATGTCAAGTAATCAAAGCAACATTCCTCAGCTGCTACACAGAGCTGGAGGGATTAAGAGAGTAGTAGTACAAGAAGGTGGCTGTGGGTACCATGGTTAAAACTTCACTACTTAAAACTTCACCAGTTAGCTTCATCTTTGGGCTTAAATATAAGACAGGGCAAACCAAGATATAGGCGCAGCTACTCAGTTCTGGCACACAACTTATTCTGTGGGTTGAAAGACTTAACCACAAAGGAAAATGCACTTGAGGATATTTTTTTTTCTACATAACTGGAATAAAAAAAACAAAACAAAACAAAACAATACGGTTATAATTCTGGTTGGTTTGTTTTATTTTTTTTCCCTATTGCCCACTTAATCCTATGAGTTTTCACTGGAATTAAGCTGATAATTTATTTAGCAATGTTACCTCCCTCAGATTTATGCCAAAGCACTTATGTTAAAAATAACCTCCATGAAATAGGTTGTTACCAGCAGTTAACCAGATTGTCACTTTGCTTTGGGCTGTTAATGGGCTAAGAAACTGGTCTTTGATTGCAGCAATCACTAATTTTGAATGAATTTATTACAATAATTACCGAGACTCAATGGTTTAATTTGCTGACATGATTGTTAGTTAAACTATATTTAAAATCTACGGAGAAACACAATAAAATTGCAAGAAAAAAATACAAGCAGAACTGATGGTCTTGTGGCTGCAGGGTTTAATCTTTGTGTCTGAAAAGGCCAATTATCAAGGAACAAGAAGGTTCCCCATCTGCTTTTTTTTTTTCCCAGCCTTGTTTCTTTTAGGGCAGAAAGCAAGCAAGCTGGCAACAAGAGGTCAGTGTGTGAAGGAGAGAATTTCCATCTACTCTCACATTTTAAGCTGCCTTTCTTTGCCCTTTCTTTATCCATTCCTTGTGGTATGCTGTGGTACCTCTGGCCTATTAGTGAGACAAAGCCATTGTCTATACCAATCACTTGGCTTCCCTCTGCCTCTACTCTCCCTGTCCACAATGAAATGCTGCACACTGACGGTGTATCTGATTTTCTGCAGGGGGTTAGCAAGGAAAGGTCACTCCCACATTAGCTTGGACCATATGGCAGCAACTGAATGAAGCTGAAGTCGTTGTCATAGATGTAGAAGGCTGCCTCTGCCGTGAACGAACCCCAGTGAATGCTGTTGTGACTACCCAAGGGAGCGGCTAATATATGTTGTGAAGTACAGGTGCATCTTTAACTAAAGGTCAAACAAAAGGGAACAGGAAATCTTGAAAAACAGGCTGAAATGCTTGCCTTGGACAGACTTCTAGCATGCCTGTTAAACAACAGGCATGTTTCACTGGTATGAGTCTAGTTTCAAAATCAGACTCATAGTTCGCATCAGCAAATAACTCTGCCTTGTTACAAACTGCCAAATGTTGGTGAATAGTGCTCTGTCTGGTCTGGGTCTACCAACCAGGTATTCAGATATAAATGGTATTCAGCAGCACATACAATTAATGCCTCAATTAAAATTGCTCTGTCAAGCAAGTAAATACATAAATAATCCTCTGCTACAAAGTGAGCAGCTGATCTTACAAAAATCCAGCCTCACAGTGGTGTTTCAAGGTATTACTATTATTTACTTGGACAAAACAGAGTATCATCTATTCCTTAATTTTCTATGAAATATCAGAAATAGGGAAAATACAGTGGCAATAGATTGAATAATTATATTTTAAGTGTCACATCAGATTTAAGAAAAGGCATGATCCCCAGAGTGCATGAGGAAAGAAACAGAGAAACAACTAGTTGCTTATGCAATGACTACAAACTGGCTCTTTGATTGTGTGAATGGCTTTTAAGTTCACAACTGACCATTTAAAATTTCTACACTCAAATTGTACATGTAGTCATAGAAATGTGTGGAAATCAGGCACGCAATTGACCATATTAGACATGTAACCCTTTAAAAAATAATTATGCACCTTTGCTTGCTTTATTGAGCCCATACATTTAGGGAAAGATTATGAGAGAAATGTATTTGAATGTCTAAACCATAGATGGGCAGTCAGTGGGAACTGCAGAACCACAGGTGTGGCCTATCTTCCACTGATTCCTCCAGACTCCTGAATGTCTCCAAATTTTGGCCCAGAGATCATGTTTTTTCTGTCAAAACACTCTTGTATCTATAAAGAAGCCAAATGAAAGTCTCTAAAATCTGCCTTGGGGAACTTGGCTTGTTGGTACAGGGATCAAGTTCTAACAGGATACCTAAGGTTCCTTACGAATGAGAACATCCACCATGGGACATAACACCTTCTTAATGGATGAACATCATCATTACACCTGTAGCTGAATCACCATCACTTCTCAGAGTCTTTACTTAGAGACTTAGGAGTTCTGAAAGAAAATGTAAACCCTTTGGGAATAAAGGAGCAAATGGCAAAGCCTGTCTTTCAACCTTTTGCCACTGAAGTGTTATTTTCTCCCATGCCCTTGAAGAGTGTAGTTTCAGCTTCCCCTTTCTTCTGCCTCCCCTTAAAACTCACTTAGCCCTCTGGAGAACAGAACCACTCCTGACTGCTTAAAAATGAACTAGGACTCTCCAGAAATTTGTTGCCACATAGTTCAGCCAGATCTATATTTAGTTTTGCACATCTCTGGGAGTTGAAGACCTGAATTATAACACTATTTCATTTGTTTCAAGCAAACTCAGAAGACACTAATAACAAATGTTGTGTGACCCAGGTCTCAATCACTGCAGAAGGAGTCAGGAAATTTTGTTTCAAAACTTGAGGCAGAACAGAGGGAAAGCTAGCATATGGAAATAACTATTGATGGACACAATTATATTTTAACAGAGAATACCAAAGGTTTGAAAGCTCCAAGGAATCAAATTAATGACCTGGGAAACAAGCTCAAATTAAGAAACATCAGGTTGGGGGTAGATCTTTAGGGCTTGCTGGCAACAAGAATAGAAAGATTTTTTTAATGGATTATGGAGGTGTTGGGGATGGATAATCATTGATTTCCTCTGCAATATATCTCTGCTCATTGTATTTCTAGCAATGACAATCAGGTAACACCCATCATGATGTTTATCAAATGTGCAACATGTTACAGATCACATTGTAACTTTCAATTCATCTGCTTTTTCCAGACTGATTTTCTCAGTGGTAAAATTAAGCATTAGTTCAAGGACTGAAGTTACTCTGTAATTACACCAGTACAAATAAAATGATGCTCAACCTTCTTTATGGCTTTTAAAATTCATATGCTATTTCATAAATGATTTTTGAACTTTATCTAAATTTAAATACTACTACAATCAAGTTGTTTTTAGAAGCACATTGTAGGTTTGATTCTTTGCTTGTCCTAGTGCAAAGCAGAAAGAAGTGCCTCATCTCAAAATTGTAAACGCACAAAATTGATGACAGAAGGGAATCGGACTCTTTGGTTATTTATAGAATGTTAATCTTGTGATTATACTAATCAGAATCATTATTTACGTGGTGCCTGTTTGCTCAAGTATATAGCCATCTCTCAAAGACACTCTGAAAGGCACAAACTATTTGAATACATGCTCTGTATTTCAGTAGACATATATGTCTGAAACATTTAGGATGGTCACTCCGGGCATTGCTGAATACACAGTTAAAGAATAAGAACTGTTGAAGTGAATGGCAAAGTCACTATATTGATCAATAAAACTGAAAACCATCTCTTATGTAAAAAATAAATTCCAGGCAATCAAATAAAGCCTACTTCTAGTAAGATTCTCTGGCCACAAAGACTAAGGATGATGGGGGCAAGAAAGAACATTGAAAGGATGCAGTATGGGGGTAGAAGAGTACACCAGGATTGTGGTGGCACTTTGAATTCCTGTAGTCCATCAGAAGGATGAATGAAACTCATCCAAAACCATGTGGATCCTGTTCCTGATGGATGGAGATAGCAGTGTCGGGTCACTTATGCTTATGGGCTGTAAAGGCCACCTGGCTCTACAGCAAAGACATTATGCGAAAAAATAAAAATAACTTACTCTTTAGTGCTGGTTAATCTGTGATTCGGTATTGGAGAGATACAAGGTGGGAGCAGGCATGAAGCTGAAGGGTCCTCCAGGCGCTGCTTCTTGCTTTCAACAACAGTATCCAGGCTTTCTGTCTGCTTTAACAAAAAAGGTAGAGCTTGAAAGATCCAGCACCTATGCACAATTTCACTTGCCATTAAGAGGAGCTCAGGAATCTCAGTATATTTCCTTTACAGTAGCAGCAGTTAAATACTGGTCTAAGAGAAGTGAAAGTCACCTGAAATCAGGGCCAAATGTGTTCCAAACACATGACATGAAGTTATGTAACAAGTGACATAGCCAGATAATTAGGAAGCAAAACGCCTTGTGCTATACTTATCTTCTATAGTGCACTGGAATTTAAGTAATAATTCAGACAGAATGACTTGATAGTACCAAATCTTACTCAAGTAAATAGCTTTTACTCATTGACCTAATGGAAGTTGATGGGAAAAACTTCCCTGAATAGGTATTCTTGACAGGTCTAACAGACTACAGGACTGAACTGTGGTAGTCATTAACAGCGATAGCTGGTTTAAAATTTGCTTTGAAAGGTTCCCTGATGCATGACTTTTGTGCCTGAATTAGGATGATACAAACAAAGCTGATTACTGCTCTGTCACTGGAACCTTCATATCAGCCTTCAAGCCCACTAGTAGATGGCTAAAATAAATCTTTTAATAGCAGGATTTAGAAACACAGATCAGGTTCTCCTTACCCTGTTTTAACTGTTGCTATACCCTCAAGTCATCCTAATTGTTTTTTTTTCCCCCCCTTGGGTAGCAGTGAACAATCACACAGCAACTGAATGGGCTGTTTTGGAGCATAGCTTATGTTTGTACAATCCAAGAGCAAGATTTATTACTTTCTGATTCAAAGTCCCAGCTAATGAAATTATAAGGTTCCAACTTTTATATAACACTTTTTTTTTTTTTTCTTGAGACCCATCAGTTTAGTTGTCAATTCTATACTCGTTTTTTAGCGAAGATTCCTTCTCCATCATACTGACACTCTACTAAGTTACGCACCAAGAAGATTTTTTGTATAATTAATATATACCCTGGTGTACTTATACATACACATAAGCATATACATCCCTTTCCTCTTTCTTTTCTCCTTCTTTCTTACATCTCTGGCTTTAGAGTACAGCTAGAATATAAATTGAATAAAAACCTGCTGAGTTTACTCATATGATTATTTCCACCTAATTCAATGGGGAAGGAGCCAGTGCAGTGACTCATGTAGGCAGGGGTGCAGACTCTGTGTCTGCCTGGCATTCTGTCTTTGTCTTATATTAACTCTCCTGTACCATTGGACTGCTCAAACTCAGGATTTCAAGAAGTCCACTAGAACAGACAGCTGAAGTCACATTCACAGTGTTTTATAAGGTTTTCAGTATAAAAAAAAAACATGCCATGATGTCTTCTCATAGACAGACCAGAGCACAACCATTTCAGCTGGAAAAACTGACTACAAAAATTCATTTATGATATAAAACTTCAGTTTCTTTTCTGAAAACACATTTAGTTTGAAGTGCACTGTCATATCCCACAAGATAGGATACCCTTGGGCATAAATAACATAAAAACACATGATAAAATGTAACGCCTTAAGTCAAAATATATTTGCTTTTTCAGGTAGCTGTGTAGAGAAAGCAGCTAGTTAGGCAAATTATATTTCTATGAATCACATTTGTTTATACAATAAAACAATATAAAGACTAAATTCACCAGGAGCCTAAGGAAGCACCATTCCACTGACTTTAATGAAGCTATGCCTGTTTAAGCCGATGGTGAAAATGCCTTAATTCTGCAGACAATAAAATCCTGCCTTCCAAACAGAAGTCAAATTTTCTTAGTAGGGCTTAACCCGTAGTAATATGAACTCATCACTGGGAATCTTTCTGCAGATTACAGAGCACTGAAAATTAATGGGTAAGCGAGCAAATACAGTGAAAAAGCTTGTAAAGACAAATCTCAAAAAAAAATACACTGTTCATTGATTTTGTCAGCTGGAGTTTGTTTTTTACTATTTTCTGATGTTAATTTGTAACGTACTAGTAAATGCACTAGTACTTTATAAAAACAATAAAGTCCTAGTGTTATGATGCCTCCTTACAGTGCTGCTGCAGGTGCAGCGAGGAATCACTGACTACAGTCCTGACCTTGAAGATGCATAGAAATTTAGTGTTTTCCTCTGAACGATGAAAATGACTTACCTTGTGTTTCCTTTTGGATTTTGTGGATGTTTTTTCAGCTGCTGGGGTAGGGGACTCTCGAGATGGTCGCCTGTGTTTCACATTTGCCTCTCTTGGTTCACTTTTCACAGATGTGGTCTCAAAAGGCTCCTGCCCAGGTATCCTAGAGAGTAAACTAAGGTCTATTTTCACCCATAGAGATTTGAGTTCTTCATATTCTCTCAGTGGGGACAGAAGTTCATTTTGGACGATTGGGATAGGAGAAAAGAGCTGCTCCTCCAAGTCATTGCTGGTCTGGTCAATGGATGTGTTGCTGCCATTGCTAGTTAAACTACTTACGCTGAGGATGTTACTGCCAGAGTCCTTCACCTTGACGCCGTTGCCAGACCCAGTGCAAGCTGGCAATACCTTAGCCTGCAAGCTTTCCTCCTGGTCTGTATTTGAGTCAGAAGTAGATGAATCTGTTTCAATGAATTCCCGGGACTTAGGAACAATTTTGCTGGGGCCTCTGTACTTTTTCTTCTCTGAAGTGAGACCTGTGCTAGTTCGTGGTTCTTTCCTTGGAGCGGTCTTCCCAACTGCTGCTTTAGTTCGAACCTTTGGCTGCTCGGGGGGTTCCTGTGTGTCTTTTTCTTTGGGAGTGTTGCTGGTATTATTTGGTTTGGGCCAGTTATACTCTTCTACACTGGAAGTCCTTTCTACCTTTTTGGGTTGCTTTTTCCCAGTAGTCCTTTGTGAAGTTGGCTCATTATGAGCTGGTGACTTCTGCTTGGAGCTTTTTGCCTCTGGAGTTTTCTGGGCAACCCGTGGCTTGGCTTTCTCTCGGATGGGACTAAGGATTGCCCGGTCTTTGGAATCAGTTGAGGGCAGGCTGCTGTTGAGCTTCCCTTTGTTTGGCCCTTCGGCCTGCTGGTTGCTCTGGGCCTGGGAGCTGGTCTCACTGTGCGGCTCATTTTGATTGCTGATGATAGTCTTGTTGTGGGGGTTCACTTTATTTAGCCATTTATCCAGCTGCCATTTGTTTGTTGAGGGAGGTTCAGGCTGCAGTTTGAAGAATGACAGGAACAAATGTCAGGCAGAAGCAATGCTTTTTCCTTTAAATGAGAACTTTTTTAACATACCCTTTTATTTCAGTCAACTAGTGGTGACTTAGTTTTATGGGAGTATTTATGGAGTATTTATGGTTAATTAGGCTTCCTTATCTGGTTTACAGTGTGGCCCTGGAGAAATTTAATACAACTAAAAAGTTTAGCTGGTCCCTGAAGACACAAGTTTTGTCATGTTGCCTTTCCTTAGTCCCAGCTGAATACTGTGTCAATAAAATCTTCCCTAGCTACTGGCAAAAATCTAAATATTTCTTTAAAGCAATTCAAATGTAGGCCAGAAGGATTCTTCCAAAAGCTAGAATGAGTATGTGGGTCATACACGTAAAACTGTAAAGGGAGAAAAAAGTCAACAGCATCAAACAGCACAGAACTCCAACATTTTCCTAACAAGGAGCAGGATTTCACTTCTTTCCATGACTCCCCCTCTGAACTCCCACTGGGGAGGAACTGAGAGTGCGGCTTTACCTCCGGCGTGGCACTGCGCGACTCCTCGTTGCACTCGCTGTCACTGGAGCTGCTTTCGCTGTCGGAGTCGGACTCAGAGCTGCTCTCAGACTCGCTGGAGCTCCCGGAGCCGCCGCTGGAATGGGCCAAGCCGGTTCCGTGTGCAGCTGGCACTGGCAGGCTGCTGCAGGGAGAAGGTCCTCTCGTGTCAGTATGCTGCTTGTCTTTAATAAAGTGTGGTCTTAGGGGGAGCCACCTAGCAAAACCTGTTCACACTGACTTTCCTCAGTGTTAACTCCCCCTCCTGCAGTACAGGAAAGCTCCAGTGGTCATGCCACCGGGTATGGAGCCAGTTGGGTTTATGGTTCATGGGACACACTGACAGTGGTGTTAATAACATTACCGTCATCATCACCCCCAGTGAGAAACAATTCAGCGTCACAAGCCTGAGCTTATTAGCCCAATGATTGAGAAAACTAACAATCACACTTAAATAATTAATTAATGGAATCATGGTTTCTTCATTTTTTGCCAGTTCATTTATAATTTATGATCAAAGGAAGGACATCAGGCAACCAATATTGGACAGGGCATTTTAAAAATTAATTTCAATGAATACTTTTACACTGCCGCATACAGAACCTACATATTTTTGATAAGTCTCCAGGGACTTCCCAAGAATTTTTTATTTATAGCTGTTTTTTCTCTCATGTTTATGATAATGCAGTGAGAAAACGGCATTCATGCTGAAAATAAGCCTCTCTGTGAAATCTCTTTTTCTGCATGTTCAACTGTCCTCCAAGATGTATTTATTAGCAGTGGTGTCATTGGGTGTCATTGTTTTTCCTCAGTATTTATTTCTAAACTGAGAGGTTGAATGACCCCAGTTTTTAGCACCACAGGATTCTGCCAGTCAGAGTCTTTATAAACTCATCTTCAACTTTTTTTGTCAGGGAGATAACCATAAGGTTTTATGTTTCTTTGGCTGATCTATATAGACACTTTTTGATGACTGATTTTAAATTTGTGAAGCTGACAAAGCAAAATGTTTGAAAATTGACACCATTTGCTAGCACTCCTTTATGGATATTCAATACTTCACCTTAATATATCATATGATGTACGTGTCCCGTACTGAGTGATTCAGAGATGCCTAGAAATTATAATGCAGCTTTGCCTTTGTTTCAGCTATCTGTTTTTCTACTTTCCTCTGAGAAGGATTCAAGTAAGTCAGGTACATGCCCTTCTTCCCCTTTCAAACTGAGGCACTATATGCATCAAGATGCCCTCTTAAAAACCCACAGTAACCAAGAAACTGGAAGTTAGAAAAGCCAGAAAAAAATGATGTGTGACACTGCTCTGCTAGAGTCTTTACAAGTATTACCATTGGCTTCTGTGACAATAATAGATGGTCTTTAATTTTCTTCTTACGCTAAGCTAATTTCTCTCTCCCTCCTTGTTGGTAAACCTATCCCTTACACTGCGGTTGGTAACATAACTGTCTCTTTGAGCATTGGAATGGCCCTGCAGTGCCCATTGACAAAACAGCTTGGTGCTTTAGGGTGCATTAATGAAACAAAATTACTCACTTGGGTAATTGCTACAGATCACTAACTTTGTTGCTCATTAAGTGTATATACTTTTTTTTTTTTTTTTTTTTTTCCTAGAGGCTCTTCACTCAACTGATTCAAGTAGAGCTACTTAAAAAATTTCAACTGGAAGTTACAGGTAAATCAAAAGAACAGATGCTTTTAAAAATATGGGCATTTCCAAAAGTAGTATGAAAAATTAAACACAGCTGCATTAAAGAATGGATCTTACAATTTGTATTAAATGCCATTATTTTTAGACACCATTTGTATACTTATTTTTCTTTCTTTGTCCCTTCTTTTCAATGAAGCTCAATAAATTGTAGGGAAATAAGTTTTTCACTTCTTTTTTAGAGTAAACAAGGAAACAGAACAGTGGAGAAGTGGTGAATGTTTGCAGGAGAGTTTGCCTTTCAATTCACTATCTTATAATTTTTGTCTATATTTTCTGTTTGGAAACACTAAAAGTAGATGAAACCTGAGTTTTCCTACTTCACTTCAATCATTTCCAAGAAGAAAGAATAAGAAAAAAATAGAAAAAACTTCAAGGATTCCCAAACTGAGGAGGCTCTAAATACCAAAATGGAACATCAGCCTTGAAAAAAATGTTATTTATGGAATTATCAAAACAATGAAGTTGTGATTTAGAAATTACTTTTTCCCCAAATCTGTTAGCTTCATCTGTTTCACTTCTATTTTCTGTTTTCTCCCCAAAATGGAAGCGAACTTGGCAATATTAATGTTTCACCCTTGCTGAAAACCCCACTTCCCACAACCCTAGCAGAGAGCTGGCTGTGAAGATGAAGAGATGTTTAACCCTCAGCAGCCTCTCTGCGAGCTCCGGGCCGGGCATACGGAAGCCTGGCACGTGTCAGCGCTGCAGAGAGTAGCAGGGCCCATGGCTGCACCGAGCTGGTGGGGTGTCAGCCACGTTCCCTGCAGCCCAGTTCCTGCAGGGAATTAATGCACCTTTGTAGCAGAGCATATGAACCCGCACCAGCCTCTTGCGGCGACAAAGCTCCTTGCCTGCGGTGGTTTATGCCCAGGCAGCCCCCATACAGAGGGATGGGGGGGGGGGACGGGGGGGACGGGGACTGTTCACACATCTGTGCAGATCTGCTGAAGAAAATGCTCTGTTGTCAGTGCTGGCAAGTTTGCTCTCATTAAGATAACTGATTTAAAGAACATCACCTCTTATAATAGATCAAAGAAGGAAAAGCCAGCGTCCCAGCAGCTAAGGCCAGACCCTTCTAGCCTTTAAACACAACCTACGTCTTTTAGCACTCTAGAAGAGAGCTGACACTGTAGCTGAGATGCGCTTACACAAAACAACTGGAGTTGTACTATAGCAGACTGCAACTGTCTGACAAAGAACTCAAAGGGCAAGAATAAAACCATGGAAAGAGATGGCAGCTCCAACCTGGTCTTATTTTCTTTCTTTCTGCACATCAGCCTCAGAGAAAGTTATCATATGCCAAACATTACTGAACAACACAGCTCAGCAAGCTTGCAGGAACCAGACAGACTCAAAATAATGTTTTTCATACAAAACACAATGAGGTCATATTTGTCTTTCATCTGGGATAATAAAATTATGTCTTGGCTACATTAGGCGGTTTCATGCTGAAGGCACCATTGCTGATCTACATTTTTAAAGTAGAAGCATTTGTATGCTTTGCAAAACAATCAGATAAGACCCAAAATGCCTTTCCTAGCATCTCACCATACTAAAGATAGAGAGATCTTGCACATAGCTACATGCACAATCAACTTCTAATAATACTGTTCAGCAGAACAGAAGAAAATATACAGACCTTTCACATACAAGTTCATGGAAAAAAAAAAAATCTTTGCTTCCAATAAAATGAGTTTATTGAAGAAATTCTGGGTTGTCTTCTGGATTTTTTTCCTTAAATAAAATGCATTTTTTAGTTCAAAAGAACAGTTTGGTTGCACTCTTCCCAAAAACTTCTTCAGTTTTAAAGTTAAATCACATTTTAAAAGATGCTGGGATAGATTCTAGATTCTGAAAATGTGCATTCAAGCAGCTGTTATACAAATAAATTGGGCTTCTTCGCATAAGTATCAACTACATAAACTGGGGGGGTCGCCTCTCTAAGAGACTTTCAAAGCAAGCTTTGTTGTGTTGCTAAGATCCAGACAAGGAATGCCAGCCTGGACAAGGTTTAAAATGGATTTAAAGCATTTTATCATCAGACAGAAGTCCTCAAAATGACTAAAGGCGGCAGGAAGCACTGGTATTTGAAACACTTGAATTTTTATTTCTCAGCAGGAGATGAGCACTCATATTGTTCTTCAGTGTTTGGGTGGACAGTGTTTTTATTTCATTTGAACTAAAAAAATATTAATAAAAACAATGCTGCACAATGGAACACAGTATTGTTTGGGTAAATAACACTTAGAAGAAAACCAGTTCATTATTATCACTTGAGATTTGAGGCCCCTACTGAGCCCAGTGACCCGCTGTGCTGGGATCTGTGTAAATACATGATGAGACACAGTCCTCCGGCCAAAGTACTTGCAATCCAAACACACAAAGCAAACATTAGAGGTATTACAATCATCCTCATACTCAGTGCAGGCCTGTCACATTCTCTAAGGGTGAGGCCTCTCTACATTAATGGAAACATCAGTTTCACACCCCCTCTTAATTTTGTTCTCCCCATTTTCCAAGCCCTGTGCTCAGCACTTGAGCTGAATCCTTCAGGGTAGTCAGACATGCTCTGCCCTGACGCAGAGCCCTGACCACGGGTGTGCGATCTGGGAGGAAAAATACACATGTGACTCAGCAGCAAGGACCCCCATTACTCAGGCCAGATGGATCACCATCTGCTTACCCCTCTCTAAAGTAGCTTCTCCTCTGCCATGGAGATGCGAGACACTGGAACGACACTATGAGAACCACGATGATGTCTCTAGTTGCCTGCAGACTGGTAAACTGGTCTCCTCTCTGCTATCAAACAATACAGCAGACAGAAGAGACCTGCACATCTGGCAGCAACCTGGAAGGAAAACCTACTGCAGCACTTTCACCTACCTCCCTTTTTCTGCTTTTGCAGCACACGACACTTCCCCTGTCCCTTGCTGCTTGGCAGTATGATTGTGCACAGTGTGGACACAAAGTATGAGATGAGAAATGTCTTGAAAGAGCAGACAAGCACCAGTATCACCAGTAGCTGCCAGTGGTTTTCAGCACTTATCTCAAGCTTAATTACAGAGCAGCTGAGACTTGCAGGTGTGTGACTGATGATGGCTCCTGGTGAGGAACTGCATCAAGCTCATCACACACCAACCATCTTTCTTTCACTGCAGTTCATTGGTACAGATGATCTGCCTACATTTAAGTGTCTCCCTGCAGCTTGCCTATTTTTTAACTCATAGGTTATTATTGCAAAACCATTTAAAGCAGTCATGGTATTATGTGTCTGGATTATTATGCTGCCTAGAGAACTGAAGGCCCTACACTTTTTTTGTTGTTGTCGTCATCATCTAGACTATTATATCATTTTCAACACATCATTTACTCTACTCTTGTAATAAATTATTTCAAGATTAAACCTGGTAGTTACAACAA